GCCAGTTCCCCTTGTCTCAATGCTGATTGGAACAGTACCTGTTGTATTGGGCTCCTGTGAACCCTACCGAGGCCATAACCTACTTCATGCCTTCTTACGGGAATCACCCATTCATTCTACAATATGCAATGAAAGCCTTGGAGAGTCACCCTATCGATGTTCGCTTCTACTTCGTTCCACAGTTAGTGCAGGCACTCCGATACGATGAATTGGGTTACGTGGAACGTTATATTCTGGAGACGGCCAAACAATCCCAGCTATTTGCCCACCAGGTTATCTGGAACATGAAGGCGAATTCATACAAAGATGAGGATGCGCAGATTGTAAGTGATCATCCAAATGCCGGCCTCAAACGGTCTACTAATGAGAATTGCCAGCCGGATTCACTCAAGCCGACCTTGGACAAGTTCATGGATACTTTGATCTCAAGCTTCACTTCTGAAGAAAGAGAGTTCTATGAGCGAGAGTTTTCTTTCTTCAATGATATTACTGGCATTTCAGGCAAGCTTCGACCATACATCAAGAAGAGCAAACCCGAGAAAAAGGAAAAGATCGAAGAGGAACTTCGCAAAATCAAGGTGGAGGTCGGAGTCTACCTTCCTAGCAACCCAGACGGTGTTGTAGTTGGGATCGATCGCAAGTCAGGAAAACCTCTCCAGAGTCATGCAAAAGCGCCATATATGGCCACTTTTCGAATTCAAAAGACAAGGCCTCGAGAAGGGCATGAGATTACGAATACCGCCGATGTTGAAAATCCTGACAATACCCAGTTGACGCAGCCTTTTCACTCTTCGACGCCCGAACCAAATCTGGAGACATATGAAGTTTGGCAATCGGCAATCTTCAAGGTTGGTGATGACTGCCGGCAAGACATGCTCGCGTTGCAAATGATTGCCGCTTTTCGAAGCATTTTCACTGGGGTCGGACTCGACGTATGGGTGTTCCCTTACCGAGTAACGTCAACGGCTCCAGGTTGCGGCGTCATTGATGTTCTCCCTAACTCCATTTCTCGCGATATGTTAGGACGCGAGGCTGTGAATGGACTGTACGATTATTTCGTGTCGAAGTATGGGGGTGAAGACTCCATCCGGTTCCAGGAAGCCCGAACAAACTTCGTCAAGAGTATGGCTGCATACTCTGTCATCTCATACCTGCTGCAGTTCAAGGATCGGCATAATGGGAATATCATGGTCGACGACGCCGGGCACATCATACACATCGATTTTGGTTTCTGTTTTGATATTGCACCGGGCGGTGTGCGCTTTGAACGCGCGCCTTTCAAACTCACTTCTGAGATGGTTGCCGTGATGAGTGGTTCCCAGAACACACACTCCCATCTTCCAGGGAGCTCAGATCCTACCAGCACGCAGCCATACCGATGGTTTGAGTCATTGGTGGTGAAAGCCTTCCTGGCCTCCCGCCCCTACTGCTCACAATTAACGCACATTGTGTCACTGATGCTTGACAGTGGTCTGCCCTGTTTCAAGCCAGAGACTTTGAAAAATTTCCGTGACCGGTTTGTACTAGATAAAAGCGAGCGCGAGGCAGCCGAACACATGCGCGAGCTTACCCGCAAATCGTACATGAGCGTCTCTACCAAAGGATACGATCAGTTCCAGCTTATGACCAATGGGATCCCCTACTAGTGTGACAATCATTAGTTGGCCTGCGGAATTTTGCCTTCGTTTAAGATCCGCTCGTTCAATTTGTGGCTTCGATCTCATTTTGACTTTGAACCTTGTCCACTGTCCCGTGGACATGAACGTGCCGTTCCTTTTCCATCCCACTTTCGTTTGCTCTTTCTTTGCTCTCTCCTTCTACCCGCCGAATGCCAGTTTGCTGTGATTGTCCCATCGCGAGCTGACCAGCGCCTTTTCATATGATTGGCCGAGTTCTAGCGTATTATTCTACGCTTGTCCTCACTTTCATTAGTTTTCTAATACGCTCCAATTCTGTCAATGCAAGATTAATTAGATCAGGCAACCGAGAATTAAATTCCTATTGGCCATTGAAGGGTTTATCCGGCCAGGGTTAAGTTTGGAGTTCGTAGGTACCAAACGTGATTATGACGTCATGACTTCGTAGGGGTGGTTTCACCTGGCCTATTCCCATTCCTGTCGTGTGTCAGTCTGCATCTTTACTCTGAAGTCTCGGCTAGAACACCCGGGTGGTGAGCAGACCCAGAAGGGCGGCGCGCGTAAGGAACAGAGGGCGTCTGCAGGGGAAGATCCAAACCGGCAATATAACTCAAGGGTACCTCGAGGAACGAGGGCTCGGTTATGCCCCCGACTATCTCTGGATTGAATCAATGATCAGGGGGAAGTTGATGATTCATGCCCTTCATGACCCGAACACGCTGTCGATGACGACCTCGAATGCGAACCGGTTCGTATCGAGTCTCAGAGTGGCGATATACTGGGAACCCCCATGACGGAGAGTGGCATCACTACTTAAATCAGAGTGGCCCTAAAGCGGTACAGTGCTACAACATCGTCATTCTTTGATGACAATTTGGCGCTTCCAATATCTTTCTTCGATCGTCAGCTCCGGGGATCCCCGGCTGTTATACGTCTATATAGTTGATACTCCATCTGCCGCGCGTGCACCAATTCACACAAAGACATACACGCATAAAGCATAAACAACATAAAGCCTACCTGATCCTGACCATAGCCTTCTGAGACACGCGCTCCAAAATGAAGCTACCCGCAATAATACCTCGGAATAAATTCGATGCTGGGCATTATCGAGACCAATCCGAGCAAGAGAAGGGTCCGGGCGAGATCGAGACTCCTGTGCCTTTTGTAACATGGCGGACATTGGCCCTGGGTGCGTTTATCTCGATTGGCGGTATCATCTTTGGGTATGATACTGGTCAGATTTCGGGGTTTCTTGAAATGCACGACTTTAAGAAGCGGTTCGGTCAACCCCAGGGAGATGGTAGTTATAAGTTTAACAATGTCCGGTCTGGTCTTATAGTCTCTTTGGTATGTTCTACACGCCCATATTGAATAGCCACCCGAAGGATCCTGTTTAACTCTGAGGAACAGCTATCGATTGGTACATTGCTTGGTGCGTTGGTTGCAGGCCCTTTGGCTGATCGTATCGGCCGCAAATGGTCGATCGCCTTTTGGTGTATCATTCTCCACGTCGGGCTCATCATCCAAATATCCTCGCCCGCGCCCAAGTGGTACCAGGTGATGATGGGGCGGTTTATCACTGGTTTCGGAGTCGGATCTTGCTCCTTGCTGGTTCCCATGTACCAAGGTGAGAGTGCGCCTCGGCAGGTTCGAGGCGCCATGGTCTGGTAAGTGTCTGGTTCGTCTCCTACGCGCTTCCCTTATCTGACTCTCTGTCTCCCAAGTTCGTATCAGCTGTTCGTCACACTCGGCATCTTTGTTGCCAACTGCATCAACTACGGCACGGAAAGTATAGGAAACTCGGCTTCCTGGCGCATCCCTCTCGGGATCACGTTCCTCTGGGGCCTTGTCTTGGGCATTGGGATCATCTTCCTTCCGGAAAGCCCTCGATATGACTACCGCCATGGGCGCATCGACCAGGCAAAGCATACCATGTCGAAACTCTACGGCATCCCGTCGAACCACCGCGTGATCCAAGACGAGCTCGCCGAGATCAAGCAGCAGCTCGAAGCAGAAAGCGGAGCCAAGGGAGGCCTGCTCGGCTGGGTCGAGATGTTCCAGGGCCCTCGGATGATGTATCGCATCTGTCTGGGGATCGTACTGCAGGCGTTTCAGCAGCTGACCGGTGCCAACTACTTCTTCTACTACGGTACGGTCATCTTCAACGGCGCGGGTATCGACAATACTTTCGTCACGCAGATGATTCTCGGCGGCGTGAACTTCGGTACGACCTTTGGGGGTCTGTACATCATTGAACACTTCGGACGGCGCAAGTCGCTCATCGCCGGTGGGATCTGGATGTTCGTCTGCTTTATGGTGTTTGCATCCGTCGGTCACTTCTCTCTGGATGTCAAGAACCCCCCGGCGACTCCAGGAGCCGGAAAGGCAATGGTGGTGTTTGCCTGTCTGTTCATCACGTACGTTACCCTCTATAATCCTACACCCCAAACCGGCAGGCTGAGCCTGTCGTGCATTATATCTCCATGCTAACACAAATAACCCACCCACAGCGGCTTCGCCACAACCTGGGGCCCAATGGTCTGGGCAATCGTCGCCGAGCTCTACCCATCACGTTACCGCGCCCGCGCAATGGCCCTAGCAACAGCCTCCAACTGGCTCTGGAACTTCCTCATCGGATTCTTCACGCCGTTCATAACAGGGGACATCGACTTCGCGTACGGGTACGTCTTCGCAGGCTGTCTGTTCGTCGCGGTCCTGGTCGTCTACTTCTGCGTCATCGAAGGCAAGGGCAAGACGCTCGAGGAAATGGACATGATGTACATCATGCACGTGCCTCCCTGGAAGAGCAGCAAGTGGGTGCCTCCTGCGCCTGAAGAGCGCGTGACGACGGGGAACGTCCTTGACCAGAGGATGGCGCAGGGGTACTCCCAGGATGAGGACACGAATAAGCGGAATAGTGAAGGGAATCAGCATATTGATGATCCTTCTGCGCCGGGTCCTTCAGCGTGAGGATTGGCCTATTTTGACTTCTGCCTTGTATATCCTCTGTTCTCTGGGCAATTTTTGTGAATATTGTATCAGTAACCAGACTCTGCTTGTTTCTTGTATCACTCTTTTTTTTTCTTTCTACAGATATTTTTTATATCCTTGAAATTTGCTGCTTTCGCGATGGGAACACTATCTGTATGTGGAGATTTTCACGAAGAGAACCTTCCAGTTTTATATTATTCAGGAATAGGCTATTTATGACATGAGCAAATGCCAAAGGCAAATCTCAAAGGAAAGACCAATGGATAACAAAAATGAGATAATGATAATCTGTTGGTCACCATGCCATGCGACCATGTGCTCGATACTTGTCAAAAAAAAAGTAGAACAAAAGAATAGCTACAAATAGGAAACTTATATGATCCCACTGCTGCACATTGATGTTTTCGACAATTTCTTTATAGTTTGGCTGATCAACCAACAGTGAGAGCGCGCGCAGCAGCGTTCACAGACAGGGAGAAAGTCAAATATTCACCAGGAATAAGGACACTGAAAGAATCAAACAAACAAGCGACTAGCGCTGGAGACAAAGACAAAGCACGCATTCGAGACGGTCTCACTGCACGTCATCTAACCTGGGCCGAGCCCGCCACAGCCCTGATAGTCGATTCGTGCCGGTGGATCCGTGTATGGTATAATCACACAGGGTAACTCTGCAGATTCCAAAAACGGAAATAAAAATGGTGTACGCATACCTGAATATAGGCGCCGAATGATTTGGCTTTCCCATCCATCATTTCTTCTACCCTTGGATTCATTTTTTTTTTCAACTGTATCTGTTCCGTGTAGAAGGGAGAACCGATAAAGATAAGGACAGGAAGAGCAGTCAAAAAAAAAGCAAAGCACTGAAGCTTGCATTGGAGAGGAAAGAAAAGAAAAAAGAAAAGAATAGGGGCAGAGTTCAATCCATAAAGTCACCCCGTAGGATCTTCTCTTGGAAGAAATCCGGTTTGTTCTGTTTAGGCTGTTTCGGCACCTCTCTGATGGGTTGCTCCATCGAGGCAATGGACGCAGCCCGCTGATGATTGGCTTGTCGACCCGTATTGGACGCCTGGTGGTTTGAAGGCGCGGTGGGAGAGATGCCTCCGATGGATGGGGCACGTTCCGCCCGGGAGCGCAGAGCTTCCGACCAGTTGAAGCCCTCACCTAATGGTCGCCGTGACACGTTAGAACGGTTGTTCTGGGGTAAATCATGACCTGTACTGGTAGGAAATGCCCCAGATGGCCGACGGGGAATACCGCTGGCCGATGAAGTACTTCCACGCGCACCAGGTAGGGAGGATGCGGGGGAGGGATATGTACCGCTGCCTATACTTCCTCCACGAACATCTCGTAACGCTTGGGTGCCAAATGAGACCCGTCGAGCGAAAGGGGAACTCGGAGTCGCTTGAGAAACTCCATGTTCATTATCCTCGACGAGGGCCTCATCGATATTGGAAGGCTGCGAGCCGGCCGAGCTGGACACACTACCCTGTCGCAGATGCCGCGGGCCAAATGTAGATGGCTGTGTTGGTGAACCCGAGAGGCCCAAGGTAGTGATGGAGAGTCTCCGACCGTGATTAGCCTGAGCGTTAGCCGCGGCGTTGGTCATGGACGCTGGGGTGCCTGTGTTGCCCATTGGGCCACTAGATTTGGAGAGGTAGTCGGCAAAGCCAGCGCCGGCGGCCAAGGAAGCCCGACGGGGACGGGCGGATGAGGGGGGAACCGAGATGGGAGAAGAAGAGCGGTCGTTGGACATGATATTGGACACGAGAGGAAAGGGGGAGTCGAGGGAAATCGCCACGGGAGGGATGGACGCAGGAGGATTTTGGAAAAAAAGGTTGTCGACAGCCCCGCGGATCTAAGTGAAAGCGGAAACTGTGCGATGATAAAATGACGGATGAAGAGCGGGTTGATGCAAGTGGGTTGAGGGTCGGAGTTTGGAGAAGATGCTCAGCAGATCCAGCTTGGAGATTGCTATTAGGATGACGTTCAATTAGTCCTGCCGTTCGAGAGATCAACGGGAAGGGCAGTCGAGAACAGGCATTGAGGAAAGTCCCCGCGGTTTTATAAGGATATGCAGATTCGATAGGATGGAAGGAAGGGTGATGAAATGGACAGACTTTGGTGGCGTGGGAATTGAAAGCTACTCACTGGATCAGAGGCCAGTTCCCTGGGTGTGACCTGGGGAAACCTTAGTTGGGCTTCCCCGACACTATTTTTAATTGAATTGGTGGGGGGGTGATTTAGCTTGAAAGGAATCGAGAAGGGGAAGAAAGGCTGTGGAGTGTGAGAAGGAAGAAGAATGAGAAGAGAAAGAAGGGGGGGGGGGAAGGAGTAGAAGGGAGAAAGAGGAAGAGAGAGAGAGGAGAGATGAAAGATGCAGGAGAGAGGAAGAGAGGAAGAGAGAGAGAGAGAGAGAGAGAGTGGGGAAGATCGGTGGATTGGTGGGGAGTTTAGTCCGTGAGCTTGACTGCAATTGACTCGTACCGTTTCAGTATGATATCATATGATTCGGATGATACGAGTTGATACCTCCACCTGGAGATCCGTCCTGTATGGTAATTACCCCACAGGCAACGTTACCGTTTGCCGATCAGCGGGCCGGAAAGAGTCTAGCCTGAGGCCTGTCAGCCTGTCACTTTATAGAGAGGTCAAGATGGTCACGGTGGTCTGCAAGACACGATACGATATTGAAGCCGGTCCGTTCAGGTCGATTGCGTTTGCGTTGACTATGGCGCAGTGATTTGGGGAGGGTCAACTTGAGTCTTGCAATCGAACTGGAAGTCTTGATCTAGTAGCTGTGAGATGTACATACCGTCATCCCGGTGACCGATAATTTACCCTCTCTTGTCGGTTCTGGAAGGGGGACGTCGCCAAGGTTCCTCTCCAGTCTGGCCACTTCCGCCGCTACGGTGATTTCTGGTGGGAACTCCACCAACGGCTGTCCGGTAAACACCCTCAAAAGGATTTTGTGATAATTCATTGGAAGATCAAATTTCTAGTTGTTCTAACTCGTCGTCCTGGATGGCAGCTCCTCCGGATCATGTGTGCTCTGTAACATTGAGTCTTCCAGATCTCGCCGCGTCACATGCAACATCCTGGTAGTCAGAGCAGTTCAAGAGACCGGGCCCGGAGGAGTTCTCGCAGGGATGCACCGTAGGCTCGTACGAAATCGAAACGAGGGATGCGATGTACTGCACGTGCGCAGCCGAACGGGCCCCCCCTAACGAAAACGACCTTATCAATTCGGCAAAGCAGAGTGAAACAGCCCAAGAAGCCTCTCCCCAACAGTCGACTCGATCTCAGTCCCGTCTCGAGCGACCTTCACATCCCGATTCCCATTCCAAGGGTTCCGCAACCCCCGCGTGCGATGGAAGGGCACTCGTTCGGCGGAGAGCCACTGGATCCGGAACGGTCTCCCGATGGACTGAACCTCGACGCCCTCCGGTCCTGGCGATTCGTCGTCGGCAGCGTCGTCGGCTCCCGCTTCCTTTCGCTCTTCTTCCTCCTCCGGCTCGCCCTCGGACGAGTCGGCCTCCCAGAAGACCGTCCCCCGGCCTAGGTCTCGGATGATCCGCCCGGAAGGGGCGAAGGTTGTCGCCGGTGTAGCGGTCAGGTTCAACTCCTCTGACCCCGGTACACTCTGTCGCGGTCGAAATGGCATCTGGAGGGTCGGATCGCCGTTCTCCTGGATGGACGACATCATCCGCGCGTATCCGTAGTATTCGCCCGACTTGTTGGCCGAGAAGATCAGATAGACGTCGTCTGCGGTCTACGCATCGGTCAGCGCGAGGCCGACTGTGGTTGCAATTCGCCTGTCCAGGAACAGTGCGTGACTTACCTGAAAAGCTTGGTTCAGAACGTCCTCGTTCTGGACTTGCGTCGCCCAGATGCCACTGCGACGGCTAGCTTCGAGGTCTTCCACCGTCAGACTCTTCACGATGAAGTATCTGTGAGCCACTCGCTCGGACTCGGAGCCATCACCCCGGGCCCTTGCCCCGCCGGTGTCTCTCGCAGCTTGATCCTTCGTAGAGAGTGAGCGGGTCAAGCCGTTTGTGGCACCGGGACGAGCGGCCGGGGAGCCATCGCCCCGACGCGGTCGACAGACAAGACGAGCGCCCTGGTACTTGGAGTCATGGATCCTCGACAAGGCCGCCATACAGGCCGCCTCCGTTCTGTAATTGACAAAGGCGCAGTTGCTCTTTGATATGAGGAAGACACTCTCCACATGTTCCCTCGTCTCCCGCGCAAAGAACTCCTTGAGATCAGTGATGCTCGCCCCGGAAGGAAGATTCCCCACCCATAGGGCGTGGCCGGATTGCTTGGCCTTCCTAGGGGAGCCTTTGCGCGCCAAAGACCCGGAAATGCCCGGGGATACTGCGGGAGAACCTGGAACCTTCAAAGTTAGCGGCTCGAAATAGCAAGATATCTTGATTCTGCTGTGGCATTTTCTGCTTCTGCGTTCGTATTTTCTGTCACACCAGGAGCAGAAAGTTTGTCCTTGGCCTACCTGGTGACGATGATTGTATTCTGGACCCCAGCGGGGTCGATCCGTCGACGATGGTCTTCAAAACGTCGTACTCTGGGCTCGGGGCGTGCTGCCCCTCTCTTTCCGGCGATGGAGATGAGGTTTCCGAGACTGGATCCTGTGAGTTGCGGTGGTGAAGACCTGATTGCGGCATGGAAGCAAGATGCGGATACACGGGGCTATACCCGCTGGAGGCCATGCACGGCTGGGCGGGATGATAAGTAGACTGGTAACCAGCTCCCGGGTGAGCGAATGGTGTTGAGGGTTGATTGACGGGGGTTCCATGTTGGAAAGGCGTGCTCTGTTGATGCGGACTATAAGAGGTATACCTCTGGGTCACCTGTGGGCCGTACGCCGACATATCGCTCGCGATGGTTTCTCCAGAGAACGGTGGCATTGGTAGCATGGGGTATACCATGCTCTGCGGATGAACAGAAGGAATCAGGTGCTGCTGCCCGCACCGCTGGTCGTAAAAGAGAAGGCCGCATGGGTAGCTGGGCACCGCAGACATCATATCGCCCATGTTCCAAGGTGACGGCGGAGGTCTACGGTCATGTTGGGCCATGTATACATTGGAGGCCACATTGTCCCGTTTTAGACCCGTCTGGCGCAAGGATTTGGTACCTACAAGAGTCCCACGGTATTCTTCAGCATGAAGTTCGATTATTAAACTAGAGAAGAGGTCTGACCGAGGGCCTGACGAGCAACAGACTTACCAGACGGTTGAGGGGCCTTTGTTGGACTGCGGTTTGCTCTTGACGATGCCGGCTGCTTGCCTCGTGGGGCTTCTGCAACCAGCAGCGGTTGCCCTGAGTGCGCGTTCTCCATGGCTTTTGTCTCAAATGACCAGTCCTCTCTACAATTGTTTCCCGTGACGGTTAGTAGCGATTTGATGACCAGACACCCTGAACCAAGCTGGACGGACGCCAGAGGAACATACCTACTCAAATCCAACGTGGGGAGCGGGTTTCTGTCGAGTAAAAGTTGTCAAACCCCAATTGATTGGCCCGCCAAGCAGAGATAATAGAACAAAGCTTTCCCGCGTAGAGTACGAAGCCACCAGTCATACTACTGTTGTAAATCCTCTGGGACTTCTGCTGGAAGGGAAGCCTGAAAAGTGCCACTTCCACTTCCTTCCTGATGGAACAAGCGTTGTCCCTTAATAATCACAGTTGTGAGCAAGAGAATTCTCACCAGAATTTAGTAAAACTGGTCAGTGTGATAGAGAGGTATTTGGTAACGTCAGCAGATATATAGGCCGAGTTTGTCCGCCTGGCACTTCAGTTCCTTTCTTTGATTCTTGGTCTCCGTTCTTTATGCATCCAATGTTCCCCGACGACCCGTGAATCGAGGCAGGTTTTGGTAGCCAGGAGATATCCAAGACCAAGCTTGTTTGGCTTCAGACGATGATGTCACTGGGCTATGGACGAAGCAGTCCAGCTATGCCCTACCTAGGCGGTGGTTCCCTTCAGTCAGGGCTGTTCTTGCGTTGACTTTCTCCTGAGTCTGTCTTTTCTTTCCCTCCTTCCTGCCTTCTTTCTTTCTGTCTCTCTTTGGCTGGGTAACTTTATGCACCGAACCCAACTGACCGGGTCGATCAGTTGACTGTAAGGTTATGGAAGCCCCAAGAGTCTGCCAGACACCTCTCTGGGGCCACCGATGGAAATGATCAAAGCAGCAGATGTAGTGTAGCAAACAAGTCTTGTCCACTGAGATCTGCACAGCAAAGAAGGAAAGAGGAAGACAGTCAAACGAAGATCAAGTAGCAAGCCAGTAAGCATATAAGTATTAAACTATATATATAAAGGTGCCTTTTCGTACCGAGAAAGCTTCCCCCCCCCCCACCATGCCATTCCTTTTCCTTCTTTGATTTTCCCTTTTATTCTTTTCCATAAATAACGAGATCATTGCCCCGACGTCAGTAAGAGGGGCGCGGGGCGGGGGGGGGGGGGGGGGGGGGGGGGTTGAACGAAAGACAAAAAAAAAATAAATAAGAACCACCATAAAAAGAAGAAGACAGAAACAGCAACAGCCCACGCATCAACGGTGGGGTCCATTCTCTTGTCTTTAAATGGTTGACCAACCGTTAGTCTCCATGACCCCTGGCGTCGGGCGTGATCCATGGATTAGAATCTCTGCGGACCTAGCGAAACCAACGAGAGTAAGATGGTGGATCAGCATCAGGTGCACCTGGAGGAGGGTCACGATAGACACCGTGGCGGGTAATGATGTAGATGGAGATGAAGATCAGGGCCCTAGCGTGGTGGCGAAAAAAAAAAAAAAAAAAAAAGAACAGAAAGAAAGAACGAAACAGACTATGCACCAGTCCGGCAAGGCTCGGACTAGTTATACCGAGTGCCCCAGGCCCTGTTGATGACATCCCCATCATGGGCCATGGTTGGGTGATCCAGCATGGGTGAGACCACTTCGTTTGCGCCACTATGCATTAGAGATTGAATGCATTGAGCGATCAAAGCATTGTCTGAGGTGATCTTTTGACTTGCAATTGATTTGTCGAAAATCCCCACGGGTATATTCGCCACCCTCGAATTCATCCCTAGTAGTAGAAGTCTTGAGTGATGAGTCCCTCCCATTTGGCAGGCGCTGAAGCACACACTCCAGGGACTCCACAGGAACCACTTAAGATACAGAGAGAACTCAAAGCCCAGACGGAATGGGATACCGCCAATGACGAATGCTCGTGTTGAACAGTGGAGACGACCAAACCCAAAAAGCCAATGGGAGGAACCAGGCACTGTTTATTCATGAACTTGACATTCGGCCCGGTGCGTATCCGACTGTCTGGGCGTTGTGAGCGAATCCATTACTCAAAACTTAAAAAGATTCCCCTTTGTCACTCTCTACTCTCGACGCTCTGGTCATAACTGTCAAGAACTTCTGCTGGATCAGTCGATCCTTGGAAGAAAGAAAGAATCAATCATCGTATCCAGTCGATTCCATGTGGTTGATGAGGACCTCGGTATTGATGGTTGGGAAGCTTCGAGAGAACTCCTTCATCGACCCATGTCCGAGGAGATCAATGACATCATGGCGCGCCTTCTCTTTCCTCATTGGGTGATGACGATGTCAGTGGCTTCCCATCGGAGATTACACACGAACCCACTATTCCCTATCATCATGATGGAAAATATAAGCGATAGGAGATCAAATGCTGTCATTGCAAGCCAACCAAGGAGGGTCACACGAGAGAGCTACACATACTGAGATCATTCTCACTCCTCTTGTATATAGTCCCAAACAGACTGGTCCACATACAATCTGACTACTAGAATTATCTAGTCTACCAGACGGCGTAGGCGAATATATGTCAATTAATAGTAAATGGGTCGCAAAGCTCCCGCTGGCCGCTGGCCTCATCTATCCGTCGTCAACACCCGTACCAGCCCAGTCATAACGGATCATACCAAAGCAACAATTAATGGCAATCGTGAATTGCCAGCGTACAGATGAATTCGGGCACAAGCCGTTGGTTCAAAAAAAAGAAAATTGAAGAAGAAAATAAGAAGAAAAGCGTGACAAGGCTCGTAAAACTGAGAACATTTTGTCAGGCCAAAACATCCCTCGGCCTCCATGATATAATTTCAGTGCGAGTAGATCCGCAGCCCCTTGGGGAGAGGTGCAGCGGGATGATAAACGGCCAGGAACCAATTAAACGGCAACAGGAATGATAGAAGAGTATAAACAAGGGGGGAGAGGAGTATGGAGGGGGGTGCAGCATGGAGGCCGACGCAGGTCGAATCTGCAGAGCCGGCCGGCTGACCCTGGACAACAGTCAGCATCCTGAGGCTGCGAGGCATAGGCTGCGAGGCATCCAAGCCCCAGGATCTGACTAAGTATAATTATTATGATAGAATTTCACAAGATGAAGGGGAGACGAGGAGGAAGAGTGTGCGGATACGGTCAGATAAACCCATGTGGAGGTTTAGGCATCCCGGAACAGAGGCGTCGGCCGAACACTTATCGGTCAATGCCAAGGGAGGCAACCTTCCCTGCGAACCGGGCTCCGGCGCTCCCGCGTTTGTGTAATTTCTCACGCTCCTTGGTGTCCAAGGAGCTTGGTGCTTGCGATGAGGCGGGATTGTCATTCCCTGTCCCTCGAATAGTCGGCAGCGACCCGACTCCGTCGGCGGGAGATTTTCCAGAGCCAGATGCGGCAGGACTGGTAAAGGCAGCGACTCGTGCGGTCCGCTGGCTGAGATAGAGCTGTGCGGCGGATGAGAGGGGGATAGGTGGAGGATTGGATGGAATTTCCGCTCCATTTTGGACGAGGAGTTCGGCAATGGGGAATGGGATTGCTTTCACTGAAGGTGCAGTGGTAGGCCTAGACGGTGGAGTTGAGGCCGACGCCGGGGAAGCCGGATCGGCTGCGGCGAGAGCGAGGAAGACGGCATGTGTGCTACGTGAACGATCGGTCACATTCACATTTGCACCTAGGGCGATGCCATAGAGAACGCCTTGGATGTCATTCCGCTTAATTGACGCAAGGAGCGTCTCATCCGAGGACGAGAACCGTGACAACGGGGAAGGCAATTGTTGGACGTAGGCCCGATCGCTATATTTGGCGGTGATAAACCGGAGTCGCTGTTCCCGGGTAGAAGACGCAACGGGCTTCTGGGAGTGATCCAGTGTGGCCTCCCAGACCATATTGCTAACGCGGTTACCGATCTGCAGTAGAATCTCGACGATGTCGTTGGAGAAGGAATTCACATCCAGGGTGAGTGACCGAATCTTGGAGATATGCGTACCAAGAGAGCGATGGATACCACTGCACTCAATACACAAGACGATCCCCAGATTGATGGATACCCACTCAACCTTGGACACGGATCCGCAGTCGGCACACCAGTTGTTGCCTTGGTCGGCATCCCGGACAGTTTGCAGGAGCTGAGAGGGATTCTCCTCGAAATTGTTGTCATCACCGCGGACGTAACTTGGCCTCGCCCCTACTGTCGTGCGGCGAGTGACAGTATTGGTCTGTCCCGTCGGATTCGGATGCTGGCCCGAGTACGACGAGCTTTTCCCGGTTAAAACAGAACCAATATCACGACGGAGTGATGAGCTATCATTGCCAGACGAGATGGGTGGAGAAGACATGCCGCGGCCTTCGACGGCGCTTTGGAGGGCATTGTTGATCGCTCTGATCCAATTGGTCATATCCTCTCCAGAAGTCGCTTGGTAGATGCGTTTGTACTGGGGCGTGATCACTTCGAAACAAAACCGTCGCTCCGCATTCCGGGCCTCACGAACGGAGGCCATGCGCAAATCGATCGGATCCATATGTAAATCTAATTTCTGTTTCCAATTGCTGTATTCCGAGAGCTTCCCCTGGTCCAACACAATCCAGAATCTGCAAAGGATGAGCATCGCATGTCGGAGAGGAAGCGGGCAATGGTGGGGGGTGGGAAGTAGAAAGGACGGTTGTGGCTGTACTTACTTGTGCCACGCTTGTTTGTTGATGCCTTTGGGATCGATATGGGATCCTGGCCGGGACAGCGCCCATAGTAATCCTTCCTTCCTCTGTTGACCTAGCATATACTTAGTTTTCCCCACTTGAACTTTACCACGGACCACATGTTTTCCACCGCTGGGAATAACCTACCTGATGGATTGGCTGTTGACGGGACGGCGGAAGTCCCTGCCGAGGTGTTCATGGCTGACGTATTCGCTTGGGCAGACAATGAAGACGTATTGCTGTTCACATTCCGCAATTGCGATCCTGTGCTGTCTGCGCGGCCCAGTTCACCATCCGAATTCTGGTTCCCAGTACCGCTAGACACCGGCGCCGATGGGACATTCGCGGTCGTCAAGGAATCGGGCTCCATGTACGTGTTGCTACTCTTTTCGAGTGCGCGCCGCTTCTCTTCCCTTTCTGTCCTCTGAAACTGGAACTCCTTGTCGGCCTGGCCGACCTCATGGATCAGGGCATCAAGCTGCGGCGTCATCTCGTCCACCTGTTTGGCGGCCGTAAGGAAGCTCTGCGCCTGCGTGCTCGCGTATTTGGTAAGGTGCGACAGGACCTCCTGCTCCTTGCGGCCACCATGGAGGTCTTGCATGAATGACGAATAGTCAAAGCGTCTGAGTTCGAAATTCCGCCGTTTGGTCTGGTACTTCGAATCGCTTTCTGCGCGCTTCTTCTCCTTGAGCGAATCTTGACGCTGTCCGAGATAACGACTGACATAGGCGTAATAGTCCCTGCTTTCCTCTTCAAACTCCTTTTTCTTGGCCTCCGCCTGTTTGATGTCATTGTTATAGAGCTTTACTAATGGCTCAATGACAAGCCTTTGGAGCTGAACGTTGTTCATCCTTTCATAGTTCAGAATCTGCCGAGCGATCTTCTCGAAATAGTGATCAAGTGCGGGCTGAATGGCATTCGCATTAGATGACGACGCATCATTCAGTGCAGACAAGAACGCCTCCACGGCATCGTTACAGGCACTCTGGGCTTGCTGGGCGGCCTCTGCCTTTTTCAGGACCTTCTTCATTTTGGTGCGCATGTTCCCCGTCTTTTGCTCTAGTGCTTTCATGGTAGCCCGGAAAAGGGGGCCATCCTCAACCACACTCATGTCCTCCCCGGGCCGTGAATGGGGCAGGTCGACTTTCACTGGCTGCGGAGGCAGTATCGGCTGGGGAGGCTCGCTGGTGTCGGGCGATACCCCGGGAAGAACTTGAGTGCTAGACGTCGCATCGGCATCGCTGGAGTGGGAGAGAACCGATTGCGACGAGGGTATACGGTTTCGAGCCGGGAGAGTGATTTCTAGATTCGGCGAGGACATCTGAGGGCTCGGTAACGAGCGCACGGAGTTTTGCACCCAGAATGAAAAGTGCGCGAGTGTGTTGAGTCGGTTGGCTCTCTGATCATAGTCCAAGAGGCTGCAGCTATTCCTCCAGCCGCCCCCTTTCTCTTCCGTCGGCTTGGGAGCTTTCCACCTCCAGGTCCAATCAAACTGGACTGACGGGCTGCCATTTGTCGAGTAATCCCCTATCAGCTGGACATTGGAGTTGTTTTGCAGGTTTGGATTAGCATGGAACTCCCTAGTGATCAAATTATCCAGCTCTTTCGAGTTGGGGGCATGAGCGAACGTCAGCCCCGTGAGCGCGGTATCCGCCACCTCTGGCAGTGATGTCGAAACCCCGTTGACCGTGGAATTCGTCACATTTCCACTTTGTGTCTGCCTTAACACGAAGGTGAATTTGAACTCGAGGTCTTCTTCGTTGGACAGGCGTAAAAGGAATGTCGGCGTTTGGGCGGTCGGCGAGAGATCAGGATCCTGCGACAGAAGGGACAGGGTTAGTGGGACGATACCCTTTTTTTTTTTTTTCTTAATATTCCGCCCCCCTGATAGGATCGGTGGTCATACCTGAATGTACTCGATCGGACTCTCGTCGCCAACCTCCCGTTTGGCCGTGTACCTCGCTGCGGGGAATGCGTTCGGCGCGATATTTAGTAGAACTCGACCCCTCCCGTTCGTGACCACAACGGATGCGATCGTGCCTATTGCAAATGCAATGTATCAGTTCATTGCTCGCGACCAGGCGACAAAGGGTTTTGGGACGAAACCGCCCGGCGCGCTGGGCTGAGACATACACCTCGACTGGTCCTTGAAATAAAGATTCCCGGCGTCATCGACGCGACTACCGACAATCCCCATGGTGGAAAGAAAACTAAGGGTTTATTGAGTCACTGCTCAGAAGAGACAGTCCGGGGAGGAAACGGGAACAGGTGGAGGCAATCATCGACGGTTTGCGCGCCCACTGTCGGATAAGAAGAGGTGGGATTGGAAGGACGATAAGCGTAACGGGGGGGTGGTCATCCAGCATGCATCCGGGACCTGTAACTGCACAGTGCCGATGATGCGGGAATCGGATGAAGAAAACACGCAGGCGAGATCAAGTCCTGGTAGGAACAGATGATCTCCAGAGGAAAAGGAGGGCGAACGAGTAAAGGATATATTAAAAAAGAAAGAAAAATGCTGATTTGGGGGATCGTTATCTCAAAAGGCCCAACCACCGACCAGGTCGGAAAGACCAGAGACAATACCACTGGCTGGAGAGGAGATCGGACGGTGAAAGGGAGGTTGATGGGAGAAGAAAGGAGAGGAGTTTGGGGCGGGAAATGGTGGAGTGAGGGACAGGGTTAACTAGTTAGTAGGTTGGTGAACTGATGATTAAAGGTGGAGGAGGAGGAGAAGGAGGAGGAGAGGAGGAGAGGAGGAGGAGCAGCTAAACTACCTTAGTAGCTGGTCACCCGCGCGGTGGTAAAGTTACTAGTGAGGAGTGGGTAAGTATGGAGGTTGTCGCTGCCTCTACACAGGGTAAAGAATAGATATTGAATTCGATCTCGAGTCGCCATGAAGTTGAGGAGTATCTCATGATTGATTTCTTGGTTGTTCAAATCCTACTGATCGGTTTGTTTCCGGACACGTGCGGCGGAAGAATGCAGGGAATTGCCGTCCCTGTCCCGATCAAGGACTGATCAATCATCTACAATCTCTACAATAGTCCTTTCGGCTACGGAGTACTGATGATGGGATTTAATGTACTACGACGGCTAATACGTGGTATATGATATGCCACCTGCTAGGCGATGATTGACAGACCGGAGGGTTACATCGCCGTCATTCGAATCTCCTTGGAAAGATCGTGACCGTAGTCGCTGACTACTTAAACTATTACTTAGCTTGTTTGGCATGACCCGTCCGTTAATAGGATGCTCATTGATCATTCGTTGGCTCGTTTGATCCAGTAAAAAAAAAACTGTGGATGGTATCATGGTTGGTCACAATCTTACACGGAGTACCCGAGGATAGTTCGCTTCGTCTTGAAAGTTTGCTGATCGAGACGATCACCAGGAGACAGGCAGAAGGGATAATTATGGTAAGAATGACAGTAACAATAAGTGGATAACCACGCAGGATAAACACGCCCCAATGCAGGCATGGTAGGATATTACGGTCGCTAGGAAATTCCCAGGACCATGCACAATAACACCAAGGAAGGGCCACGGTGACAAGAAGTAAAAGAAGAAATAAAATAAAAAATAAAATAAAAATAAGAGGAGGAATGAGAGTAAAGAAGATCATGAAGAAGACAAATAAGGAGGAGGAGGAGAAAAATAAAATTAAAGATGGTGGAGAAGAAGAGGAAGAAGAAGAATGGCAGGAAGGATGGGAAAAGTCGCTTCGACAGTATCCGGAGATACAACCAGGCGCGGTGTTGCCAGCAGCAAGCCTATTAACCCCACGAAACGACATGTCGGTGTTAATGTCAAGGTTCAACTACTATTATAACCAGCAGCTCGTTCGTCAACGGTGGTATTTTTCCCAAGCGTCAAAGGCGCCTCGCGATCCCTTCGAACAGGTGCGTGCTGATTTCCCGGGTAGGCGCTCGAATTGCCAGCGCTCTTCGCCCGATACTCGTCGGCTTGGGCCCACTTCATCATTTGACCTTTCACATCGCGCATGTCATGTACCTTTTGAGAAAATTCCCCTCGCTTTTTGGTCCGGAGGCCACTGCGTTCGTCCAGCTCTTCTTCGTCAGAACTCGAGATGGAAAGCGACGAAGTGCTGCTTTGCTGGAGGAAAGTCATATGTCCGCTCTCGCTCTTCTTGAACTCTCTCTGCTCATCCTTCAATTCTGCCATCCGTTCGGCGTCGTCCTGACAATCCAGAGTGGTGACGTGGAGGCCAGGGAAGTTCGCGGAAATGAACTGTTTGAGCAAATGAAGGCACTGGCCATTCGGTCGGTAGGTCCCGCTGTCGTTGTCGATGTAGAGTTCATAATCGTCCGGATCTGTGGAGACTTCGGGAGATTCTGGCGATTCCTCCACGGGGATTTCGGTCTCCGAGATTGGTGACGCAGCGGATTGGTGCTTCTGGCGGTTCTTGCGCCGACGAAGGAAAAACTCCCCCGAATACGCGATGTAGATGGACACATTGCTATGCATGGTGTGCTTGCTTAGCAAGTCGACCCCGAACTCCTTTCCGGTCTCGGTGAAGCGAAACTGGGCATCGAGAGTGAGGACATAGGTGAAGATCCGACCACCTTGCGCATATTGGACAAATTCTAGGAACTTCTGAGTAAGCTCAGTACACGGCGACGGCAATTGATCATGGAGTGTCGTCCTATCGAAATTGTATATCCGTTGGTGCTGGTGGTGCAGAGCCCGATTGAGGATCCGCCCTCGTAGACTCTGCGACGTGAACATGCCCGCAACAAATGGTCTGAATTCGACATAACGATGGTACAGCTCCGAGGGAACAGGTCCCCTCAGCTGAATCTGAATCGCCTGGAAACTATACGGACGTTAGAGGGAGGGTCGATCTTAAATTTTGGTTTTTTTTTTTTTTTTTTTTTTTTTTGTCCGGGAAGGAGAACCCACTTATAGCGAGAGACATTCTTCTGACCGTTATGGTTCTGAAGTTCATCTTTGGTCCCCGTCAATCTTCCGATCATGGGCGAGAAATGCTTGAACCAGTAGTTCGGTCCCAGCGTGTACATTTGGGCTCCTTCGGTCCCCGGAGTTCTCCCTAGATACTCCACGCTCACCACGACGTGGGAACCAACATCCAGGCGTCCCGAAGCCAGAGCGGCGATATTCCCGAAGAGATACACGCGTTTGCTGCCTGAACGTTTCTTGACCTTGAAGGTTTGCTCATGGATCCCAGACCAGCCCTCGCCGATCGAACCCACGTCGACGTAGGCATTGCCTAGCTTATCATCGTGATCCGCCGCATCCTCATCAAACACACAGCAGCGAAGCTTAAATCCCGAAGAGGGGACATTGGCGACAATCCACTCGCTGTCCCAAACAGGATCTCTGTTTTTGCGTACCGTAGGCGTGCGAAAGGTGAGGATTGGGTCCTGTTTATGCCGCTGAGGGAGGTCCACCATCATTTGGGCCAGGATGTAAGGGTCCGAGGTGAAACGGCCAAAATCCGCACACGGGAGGTTGATCCCGCGATGAAAGGTAAATTTGAGGGTGTGTCCTGCAGGCGCGTGGGGAAACGGGGTGCTATCAAATCCACCTGCGGGTTCGTGTTGCGCCCCGTCGCTATGCAAAGCAGCTTTCATAGTGGCTGCCTGGTCCTGTAGTTGCTCGGTCTTGTCATGAATTTTCGGCGCATACTTGTCAACATGATGCTGCGGCCGTCCCTGGGGGTGTATTTCTTCCATGAGGGGCTGTCTTGTATCGTTGTTGCCGTCCGGGTGTTGTTGTTGTTGTTGTTGCCACCAGCGCTGGGGTGGGTGGATCAGCAGCGGACGCAGGAGGGATGCAGGTCACCTCACGCCAAAAGACCTAACACGGGGGAAGTCCACGGGAGTAAAAGTTGACTGATCCTCGAGATGACAGCCAAAACATAAAGTAGGATAATGAAACAATGGCGTGCGCCCCTTCTTCATAAAGGAATAAAATAAACATTAACCGACAAACAAAATAATAAAAATAAAAATAAAGGAAAAGGGAAACCAAACTTTAAAAAAAAAAAAAGAGGTTGCCTTGGGAGGTCGCGCAACTAGGGGAAGTTGCGGAACTTGTGGGCGGGAGGGTCCACGGGGGGTTGATTGTTAGTGAGTTTAGTTCAGGCTGACTTATGACGAGGTTAAGCTTTCGGCCGATCCAGTTCTTCACCCCGCTCGGATCCGTGCAAGCCCCGGCTTTTATAAGGCTGATACGGGAAGAACCAGAGGAAAGGACGAGAGATATTAGGTTATTGCTGGTGGTAGATAGGAGTCTCGGATCTGAAAAGAAGGGGAGGGATAAACAAGGGTTGGTTGAAGGATTATTTACATTCTTAGGCAACTGAAATACCAGCTAGGCTCCAGGATTAAAAAACTATCGACTGACCTGTATGCCGCATATCCGGGTGCATGGAGGCTTGGCCGACATCATCATCCCCGTAGGGCTGACATGCAACAATGCATGAAGGGAAAAACGGAAAATGATTCGATACGGAGACACCACCTGAAGATAAGGCAAAGAAGAGAGATGCAGTGGGACATTACCAGGGATGATCGGATTCTCCGATTTAGATTGCCGTAGAATAAGAACGAAATGGAAGTGGAGAAAGGTACTCTGACATTCAGAAATTAAATGATAGTGGCTGCAAATCAGATAGTTCGCTTATAGGACCTTTGAAAAACGGTCTAGTTTGCGACCAACGTCTTCCCGTCCAGAGGGTAAATCGACGAAGTCCAGTAAATCATGACCCCCGAAACAGGAACTGCATATCTTCCGGGGTAAGCTTCTCCAAAGCTTCGCCCTGGTCTTTATTGATCGTCCCGTTGATTAAGTTTGCCTTCTTTTCCTGCAACAAGACAATGCGAGACTCGACCGAATCCTCGATACACAGTCGGGTAATCACACATGGGCGTCGTTGGCCGATACGGTGACATCGATCAGCACTCTGCCATTCAGCGGCGGGGTTCCACCACCTAAACCAGAGGTTAGCCATTAAACTCATATGCTGTGGGGGAATTGAGGGAGTCGAGGGGGACGAACGGATCCACGATGAAAACTCTCGACGCCTCAGTCAGATTCAGAGCGACACCTCCCGCTTTGAGAGAGACCAAAAACACCTCCACATCCACATTCTTCATGAAGTAATCAATTGATTTTTGACGCTGGGCAGGTGTCATGGTTCCGTCCAGCATAACGGTATTAAAACCAGCACGTCGCAAACGCCACTCCACAAGTTGCAGCATAGATGTGAACTGGGAGAACACGATGGACTTGTGTGTTTGCTTTTTGCTCCTCAGCTTGAACAGCTCGTAAACAAGCAGCTCGATTTTGGTCGACGAGGTCCAGTTCTCCATTCGGATGCGATTGATGATAGAGTTCTTCTTAATGTGCTCTTCTTCCTGCTCAATATCAGGCTGCTCAAAGTCAATCGAGAGGGGAATATGACACCGAGGGCAATCGATGATCGTGTCTTCTTGGAATGATTGAATGTAATCCTTGGCGCATCGCCTACAGAACTCATGACGGCAGCGAGAACGGATAGCTTCCTCTGCAGGCTCATCGCAGATGCTGCAGACAAGGACGTTCTGCCCACTTTCGCCGTGTTTCTTCAAGATCAAATCCGGATGGTTTGCAACTTGCCGCATTTGCATGATGAGTCCGAAAATATTCGCATAATTGTTCAGCATCACGCCACGGCTGACGTAAGTATCAAACTGTCTGCTAGAATTGGTCATGATACTCTGAGAGAAATCGCGTTCGATTTCCCCAAAGAATTCATTGTGCAAGACGACACTTGGAACCGGTAGTCAGCTTGAGCTCCAGTGAATCGTACCAGTACCACTCACCGCTTAGGGGGAAGCTCCATCGAAGCAGTGTGGTCGCGTTTGACCCGCCGAAGCATGATTCGGTCTGTAATAAGGCGGAGTTTAGACAAAGCTTCCTTCCGAGGTATCGCGTCGTCACTTTCGGTAACTATTGGAAGTTAGAACCGCTACCATGAGGCTGGAATGAGTACTAACTAGGGTTGAGAATCTCCTGATTGAACACTGATACATGACTAAAACCACTATTGAAAGTGTCAGTAACAAGAAAGACGCTTGAGAATATTCAACGGCACTGTACCTATGTTTGCATTTGGTGCAGCGCTTCTCTGCATCCTGTGACCAGTGTAGCTCCTTGCATTGACACTGCTTACAGAAATAGCAAGCAAATGGGCGGACTTCAAGGAAACGCAACAGAGAGAAAAACTCTCCGATCCTGTTCTGAACGGGGGTTCCCGAAAGGCACCACTTGAAGTTTGCCTTTAAGGCGAAACACGCACGGGCAACACTTGTAGTGCGTTGCTGGAAACATCAGCGCATAATCCTTACGGAAGACTGCAAAGAAATGAGAACACACCTTAATGCTGTGGGCTTCATCTAGGATAAGGCGGTGATAGTGTATGGAATGGATGATACCTTTTTTGGATATCGTTAGCCCCATAGGCTTGAATATCGGGGAGGTTCACTTACTATCCTCTTTCACGATTCCGTCGTGGCGATTCCACCCTTTCCACTGCTTTCGATGGATCGATTCAAGGCCAGAGTCTGTATACAGAGTTAGACGATAAACGCTAATATCAGTCAAGACGCAGCCCTACAAGATATCATGATAACATCGTATTCTTGGAGATCTTTCTTTGTAAGTCCTTTGAGCTTGGAGTTTGAATTGTGATACACGAGTACTTTCAATTGACCACTTGTGTATTCCTGGTAATCCGTTAGAATGGTGTCAAATATTGATTTGCATAGAACGAACCTTGATCTCAGACTGCCATTGCATCAAAGCAACAGGTGGAACAACCACAAGCGACGGGTTTTTAGCGGGATAATCAGACATGAGGAGGGAGACCGCCTGTATCGTCTTCCCCATGCCCATTTCATCACCCAGTAATCCACCCTTGTAGTGTGACTGCTCTTGCCGGATCATCCAGTTTAACCCTTCAAGCTGAAATGACTTGAGACTTCTTGATATGCCTGGAGGTTGTTCCGCGGCCACTGGCGCTATAGGAGGGGAATTTCTTAAATCATCCCACATGCTGACAACACAAGGGTGTTGCTTCTCGAGCTTTTTGCGTTCCCTAAATGCCTATGGACCAATCAGCGATGGGATCCGTAGAACGAACGATGGCATTACTTACACGACGGCTCATCCACGCCTCCGCAGGGGTCCGGGGTAGATTGTCAATATTCGAGCGTACTCGAGTTTGAGTCTGACCACGAGATCTGGGACGCACAGCGGAACGAATTCTCGACGTTCTCTGGGACGCTAGCGGGACATCCTCGTCTGTTGCAGATGCAGAGCTGATTGAATCAGAACCCGCATCACTCTCATTATGATAGTCCTGTTCATCCTCAGAACTATCTCCCATGTGAGGTTTCAGCTCCCTATAACTTGAGGGTCCAGGGTTGGGCAGGGATTGGAGGGAGCTCCTAGTCTTGCGAGTTGGCTGCCATTCGGTGAAGTCGTTGTCATCCACATCATCGTTGAGTGTGAGATCCGTCAAGTCACTCTCTTCTTCGGCAGAGTCACTAATTTCAGGAACTTTTCGGCGTTTTGTAGATGTCTTTTGGTACTCTTCTGCCTGAAGGGCAGCAGCAATGGCCTCATCGGACTGCTGGAGTGGGGTTGAGTCGCCGGATGTCGTGGCTCTGGTCCTTTTCCTCCCTCCCCCCGTATTGATTGCCAGTGTGCTGGAGCGTAATTCCCGAGCCCGAGCTGCAGCACTGATTCTCTTCTTCGGGTTCGCGGCATCCTGTTCAGCGGGGGTTGGGGCGACACTGGTGGCTGGAGTAGTATATCCATTGGTTCCATCGGCAGAGGTATTGTCAACGATAGAGGACGACGGGGACCGGGTTAGGCTAGGACCAGGAGAGTAATTCTTCGTCGGGATAGCGACCTCTATAGCAGGCATTTTAATATTCCGAGGGGCACGTAGTTCCTCGGCGTGAGGCAAGCCGTTCCCCGTATCGTCGACCGACACATCAATCTGGGCTGATCGTGCCAGTCTCGCGGAGGTGCGTCTCGGAAACGACGATGGGCTATCTAGAGATGGGTCTTCGATTTCATTAGCAACTCTAGAACAAAGGACTGGGAGGCCAAGGAAGAGTATTCACCTGATGCCGAATCACGACTCGGCTTCGGTGCAAGCATCCTGGCCATTATTATTATTATTATTTTATTTTTTTTGAAATCAGGAAATCTTATTCCTCCAGAGCAAAGACATTGACGATATGGCCTTCATCCAAAGCACCAGCCAGCTCTGTGGAAGTTCCTGTTGTGGCGAGGTGGCGAGGTTGATGTGGGTTCTGCGATGCAGGAACGGATGCCTGGCCCCTTACGGATATGGGGACGAGTGAAAGTCTGGAAAAGAAAGAAAATTCCTCAAGCTGGCCCTGAAAACACCCGGACCACCTCTCAGAGGATTTAAGCAAGGTGCTTGGTTGATACCTCTCAAAGGCGGACGCCACCTTGGTTTTTCCAGTCCTGTTGCCTGGTGTCCGAGCGTGGACACCCCAGAACACGAGTCAATAAGCCGCGGGCCCGGCCTCGCGTTAAGTGCAACGCGAAATCGCCACGGATCCTGTGACTCGTCATTTTCCTGACCTTCTCACTTCACCTGCGATCCTCGACACTTAGCTGGCCCAGAGACAGGGGAAAAAAAAGAAAAGAACGAAATTCCATTATCTGAGCTTGTTAACATGTATGGCGCAACTTGCTTATCTCAACAGACCTTAAATGCTAATTATCGATAGGGCGGAAAGACGGCAAACAAGAAACCAAATCCGGGGACCGTATGTATTCCACCGTCGCATAGGCGACAACTTCTTCCTAGAAGCTCGCTAACAGCTGAACCCTTTCAGACAGTCGGCGCTGACTGATTTCCTGGCTGTGAGCAATCTTACCTGAATCTTGTGGTCGCTTGCTGATGATTTTCTGATGTTTCCAGTCCAACAACATCTCTGCCGCGCAGATCAGCGAAGATTACCAAAGGCGCGTTAGAGAAGCCGAGCGCTCAGCGGTCGCAGAGCAAACGCCAAATCCCACCGAACGTAATGACTCCGAGGGTACTAGCGAGTCACCCGAGCAGCGGAAAAAGCGCAAGCGGAGGGAGACAGCCGCGTTAGCAAAGATAAAGCAGAGCAAAGAGTTCGCACGTCGGAAGAGTCGGCGTACAGGAGAGCCTGGAGATGATGATGACTCTATGGCAAGGGACATGCTGTCCGAGCAATCTCGACCAATGCCCGGCCAGCTGGAGAACTGTGAAGTATGCAGCAAACGGTTTACTGTCACACCATATAGTAAGACAGGCCCGAACGGGGGTCTCCTTTGTGCCAAGTGTTCCAAGGATCTGGCAGACGGCGATAAGAAACCCAAGGTGAAGAAAGGTGGAGCGAGGATTGGTCGTCGCCAGAATCAGAGCAACCTTCTTGATGGAAATGCCCAGCAAGGTGCCTCGACTTTGGTCGAGTCGTGCATTAGGGTATTGCTCTCTCACTAGTTTCGTGGTCTACAGTGCTGATATCTTTTAGAAAGTCGCAGATAATATCAACGATATCGAAGAATTCGGAGATTTGCCATCCTCGCTGCTTCACCGTCTCAGCCAGATATTGTCCAAGAGACGGGCATTGACACCAAGGACTCTCAACCTGTTCCTCCGTCGGGAACTAAGGTCCATCAACATCTATGATACCGCCAGTATGGCTCCCTCGTTTCACTTTTTCTTTCCCTTTGGGCGCAAATTTTAATCTTGAATGCTCTGCAGAGCTCGAAACGGATGATTTCCAGAAAATATTCACGTTCATGCCGGACTTGAACAACGTCAACCTTCGATTTGCTAGTCAACTCAAGGACAGAGTCTTAGATTATACCATGGACCGAGAACTCAAAATCGAGCATCTCCAGATCGACTCTGCCAACCTTGTGTCGGATATATGTTGGCAGCGACTATTCGTCAAGCTGGGACCAGATTTGAAAAGCCTCAAGCTGTCCAACCTCGATAATTCGTTCAATGACGAGACCGTGGGAGTCATGTCCAAATCTTGCACGGGGCTCAGACGGCTGAAGCTCAAACAGTGTTGGAAAATGGGCGATGGTTCGCTTCAGGCCATCGGGCAGTTATCGTCGTTAGAACACCTGTCTCTGGATTTCATCCAGGAGACGGATGCTGAGAAACTCCTCGACATGATCGGCCAAGTTGGTCCGAAATTACGAACACTCTCCTTGGAAGGGTTCCCGACTGCGGACGATCGCATTCTCGAAGGATTCCACAACCATTGTCAACACCTTACTAAACTCCGATTCACGAATAACTCCATCTGCACGGACAAGACGTTCTCCAAACTTTTCACTGACTGGTCTAATCCTGCACTGGAGCTTGTGGACTTTTCCTCTACACGGGACGTGGACAATGCAAACGCAGATGGGCCTGCAGATGCAATTGGATTTGCCTCTCAAGGGTTCGTTGCGCTGATGAACCATTCTGGCCGTGCCTTGCAGAAGTTGAACATTTCTTCTTGTCGGCATATCTCCCGTGAAGCCTTTGAAGAAGCGTTCGCAGATGACCGAGTCTACCCCAAACTACGGGAGATTGATGTCTCGTTTCACACCATTATGGATGACTATCTGATCGGACGCATTTTCCGATGCTGTCCATCTCTTACGAAGTTGGTCGCGTTCGCCTGTTTCAACGTACAGGAAGCCCGAGTTCCTGCTGGGGTTGCGTTAATCGGTGGACTGAAGGCCCAGGATCGTATTGCTGTTGATGGTGATCAGGTTTGAAGGGTCTCATGACACTGGAAGTGCTGAATCATGCGCCGTTGTAGTCAATGGGTGCAGCAGTATCATGGAAATAGAATAATTTTAGTATCAAATCTCGTCTCTAGCTTACTCTTAGACTCAAATGGCTTGGAGTGTATAGAGTAATCTAGTAAATAACACAGGGACTTCAAGGATTACTGGCTAGTTACAGTAGACTCACAAGAGTCTGTCCATCTGACCTGCCCACATCACTGCCATTCATTCACTCCGTAAAGACCAGCGCTCTCCTCTCTGCTTGGCCCGTCAACCTCTGTCATCTTCCTCTGTACCGTCCAGTTAACGCTATGGGATGAACAGCGACGCGAGTTCCGATCCCCAACGCATGAAGAATTGTTGTGGATTCGAACAAACTTTGGACAGGGGAGCCTCGGGCAGTCCGGATAGTTCATGTGGATGGATACTACAAGCCCACCGCAGCCAGTGCCTCTCACTGTCATCCGGGATGTATGCCCATGTATCTTGTGGGGAACGGCGACTCCCATTTTGAAATACCTCGCAGATGTACAGGCGATTCTCTATCCACCGAATAGGACGGTTGTTGAAATCGGGGTGCGGGGGTGGACGTACTTGCGAGCCAAGGTCCCTTCCAGGCGTTGTTGCAGGTCGGACAACACTCCACCACAATGGCGAAGAGCCGTTCTACAAAGCTATGAAGGATTCGACCGCGCATATGGAGAAACCATCAGACTCTGCCTCCAGATGATTCTAACTATCTGCGAGACTCCCCGCTCACACCGGGCTGCAGATCAGAGTGTGACCTGGCCCACCCAGGATCCGCCAACGAGGGTGTCAATTGCGCTACAACGTCCGGGGTGAAAATTCGCAATAGATGCATTGACGGTTGCTTACCACGACTTCCAGCTACCCGCCGAGGTATAGCACCCGCGCGCGACCGGCGACAAAATCGGGGAAGTCTTCGAAACACGCCCAGAGCTCGGCGTTGCCCTAGGTCGCCTTGTATCAGCTGCCTCGGCCAATTTTTACGAACGAACGCTATTTTCAAAGCCGAGCCCCCTCCAATGTTGCTGGAAGGCGATCCAATCAAGCAGGGGATACATGTCAAGGAGCTGAAGCGCCCGTCTGGCCATCCACCCATTCATTCTAGACATTGGCAGCGCTATACTGTCCACTCATTGTTCAAGGTCATCAGCACCACTGTCGCGGAGGGTGTCCGCGGCGCGCCCATCGTCAACTGCAATACGGGTGGTGTTATTGGCTTCTTCTAGTTGTTCGATAGAACCAACTGTCTCACGGCACATTTGGATGAAACGGGTGGTGAAGGGTGGAAAGTAGTTTAGAGTGTACACTATATGCTGTCGCAATATAAAGTTCAAAGATTTCTCACGGAGCGCAAAACCATCATGATATCTTTCGTAGCCAAGTGGTCATTCTTTCCCACATACGCGAACCTGTAAAAAAAAATGCGAATGGAGTATAATAACATTCAGCCGCCAGTGGATGTGGCTAGATCCGAGCGACCCACAAAATGATTCACCTGGGGTGGAGGGTCCTCCAGGAATAGCCCGATAGACCACTATCAGCTCGTAGTCCCTTACTAGAAAGGATAGTATGGGAGACCGGGTTGAACCTGCCAGTGGATCGAACCCACCGGGACAGCTGAGACTTTTGAGTCAACGTCTCCACCAGTCCTTCGTCCAGCTCAACTAACTGGAGGGACGAGGGGATAAATTACTCGCCGACCGAGTGAAAAACCGCCGAATGGTGACAATGGGTTGATACCTTACCTTACCTACCTCGGTAAGGACTGCCTGCCTCAGAGGGATTGGGTGTGGTGAGGGCTGGCTGGCCGCGGTCGGTCTCAGATTCGGAATTTCAGTAATGCCCCTGATCCAGTGAAGAATTCCATGGTGGCAAAACTTACTGTACCTATTTGGGAGATAGGTAAATCAATACCAGAGAATGGTGCAAAACCTTGATGAATTTCTGGGATCAGATCTTGGGTTATTTTGAGACGCGCCACAGGCAATATATCAATCTGTTGAAAGGGCGGTAATGGGTTGTAAACTTGAAACAATACTTACCGGTAGTACTACTGTACATATTACATGGTGCTAGTTAGTTCATGCAGTGGTTCCTGTCCGTAGTTGGAGGTCGCTTCCCCTTGGTACCATGGCTGGATTAAATTGACACTACGATCTCCCTATCCAGTATGATGATTTCCCTAGGTAGATCTAGGATCGATCTTCAGTTTCAACCTCCCAGATCTGCAGAGGAAGATGGATACAAAGATGATCCCAAAGAATCATTCTCTGAAGATGGAGAATGTTTCACTTGGTCACAGGTGGCTTTGACAGGTCATCCTGATGTCCCTGATACGGAGGATTAAAAAAGACCAGGCCAACCTGGGCCGTGTTAGTCTGTACGGTACGGTATGTTTGGACGCAACTCCCTAGGACTAGTGAATGTCAGTATCTAAAATGGTATCTTCCCGTACGGGCGTACAGTTGCAGCCGTTTGGATTTCAGCTAGATTATTGGATCTGGTGTTGGTTGTTTCAGGTATGAATCGAGGTCGGGCATTCTCTTCCTGGTTGATTCTCTCTTTCTGTCTTTCTGTCTTCCTGTCTTTCTTTATGATATCCCTGGTTAAGAACCTATTTTTAAAGTCCATGTACATGTATCATGTACCTGCCAGGACGGTGGATCTCCCGGTAAGGTACTTTGGCCAGGTCGATATATTCTTAGCTTACCTATCAGTCCAGAGTCCTTTGGTTTGTTTAGTTCCTGAGGAAAAAGTACAGCCTTACTAAATTTGGCGGTTGAATGCCAAACTAGCATTGGGCTCCACCCTCCAGGTCTATTATAGTATTATTCCAAACTCTGTTGGTCTGTACAAGTGTCTCTCTGCCGTACCACGCTGTATCATCAATAAATAAATCTTCAAAGCCATCGGGGGTCAGACCATTCATGCCCCCGGTCGGTCTATCTCATTGGCCTTTCCCTTTTTGTTTCCTTTCTCGATTGGATGGGGTCAGAAATAATCCTCTCTCCCCTTGCCACTGCTTCTCTCCATCATCTCCATCATCATTGTTGGATCTTGACTTCTCACCACTGACCTGCACTTCTTTCTCCCTCTCCCTGCTCTTTCTCTTCCTGACACTGCCTCCCACTGCTCCCACCTCCCTCACTACCTCCTGCTCTTTGTTCTAGGCCTGCTCTCAATTCCACCCGTCGAGTCGGCTCTCTTCCTGGTCCTGCGATCATACTCAACACTTGTCAAACGAACCAGATCCACCACGTATATAGCAGACCCAGTCTCCCCCTCTGCCATTCCCCTCGGCCACTCCCCTCTGCGACACTCCCCTCTGCGACCCCTCTCTCCTTCTTAATTAATACCACACCACCACCACCACCACCACCATTCCTGAGCCCGTCTCAGGACATGTGAGCGCCGTGTCCAAATTCCGCCCCCCCTATTCTAGATCCCTGCGACTCGGCAATCACACTGTGTGCCCGCTTGGAATTTCCCGCGGACCTTGTGATTGATTCTCCCCCCTCCCCGGTTTCGAAAAATCAAAACAACCTGAATCGTGATTCAACATTCCACATTTTCGCAAAAAAAAAAACCCCCTCCCCACCCCATACACGATATCTGCCGTACGAAGGCGTCGTCGGAATCGGAGGCTGGTCAGTGCACAAAGGTGCCGAATCGCCAAAAGCGACGGGTCCTCTCCACGTATTTATGGGGAATAGCCCGTGCTACTGAGATTGTCTTGCTGTTCTCCAAGGCCACACAGAAACCTGGAAGACATCGCCCGTCTCCTTCGATCTCAACCCCGACGCTTGTGGTCGTGGCCTTCGATCAAACTCAGCATCCATGCCAATCAAGCTTCCCAAAGGCTTTGCCCGGCGAAAATCGGCTGGAAATGTTTTAGATGAAGGCGATGCTCCACAGCATTCGTCCTTCCGAGTTATTGAACGTCCTTCGGCAGACAGGAAATCGTTCAGTGACGGAAATGCTCTCTCGAAACGGATGAGCGACGGCCAACTGTTACGCACGCCGACAGAGGATCAGGAGAACATCTTTGCAGGACAGCATCACCTGCACCCCAAGAATTCGTATGCGCTTCCCCCTCCCCCCGCCGGCATTATGCTCGTGCCAGTCAGAACGGCTAACAGATTCGGTTGTAGCGGCGCTGTACACGAAGGCTCTCGGTTTAACTCATCGACTCGTCGCTCCACGGACGGACCAACGGCTGATTCGCCGCACTCACGAAGCTTGTACGATATCCCGATCCCTCCATTGTCGGGTGCATTACGCGCCGCTGGTCGGACATTCTCTTTTGGTGGGAGATTCTCCAAGGCATCGGCGCCACCACAGCCATTGACCCCGGCACCCTCGAGACATAGGGCAATGACAAACAGCACGTCAAGCACCGCGACGCCTCCTAGACTAATGGAGACGGATTTGCAGATCGGCCCGATGGGGGATGATTTTAACATCGATTTTAGCAAGCGGGATAAGTCGCGGGAATCGTCGTCTCGAGTCGCCTTGACCGAGGGGTCGGCCAATCCGGCACCCGGTCCTCGGAAAGACAACAGAAGCCCGCGCCCAACACCCATCGATACCAGTCGTTCGAAGGAGGTCGAGCCTTCCCCCTATTCATGGGACAGCAAGCATTCAGAAGAGGGCCTCCTAGCAACTTCCTACTCCCCCCATGATGTTTCCTCCGCAGATCGACCCGGTTTCACCCAGTCCCCCTCGTATGGGGAGAGACGCAAATCTCTCCCGTTGGCTACTGCCATGCCTTCCACGACGTCTCATCGGGCTCTCGACAAGCCCCAGGGGGCGGTGGATCAAGGGTTAAGGAGGAGTGTTATGTTCTCCAGCAAGCGAGACGACGAGGACATGGAAGATGACGACGCAAAGTTGATCATGCACTCTCTCTACAACAGGAGAAACTCCGAGGTCCCATTGACTTTCGACCATGACGGTTCGGACCACGAAAACGACACGCCTCTGTTCAGCAATGATCGCGCGGCCGCCGTGGATCACGTCGAGCCCCGCGCAGCGCAATCTGGTGGAGCACAAAATTCTTTCGGAGTGGCGGAAAGCTATCCGGACCATTCTATCGCAGCGAATGCACGATTGGCTGCACAGTACGAAAAGACTAAGCCACCCGGATCTTCGTCGACGAAAGTCATGACCCCGTCTCAGTTCGAGCATTACCGCCAGCAAAAAGAGCTTAAACGGTCCAATAGCGATGCGTCCAAGAGTGAGAACTCCGAGGACAGCGAATTGGATGAGGAGGACGAGGTGGAAAAGGGCCGTGAGGTAGAGAGACAGCGACGGCGACAGGAAGCGCATCTGTCTGTGTACAGACAGCAGATGATGAAAGTCACTGGCCAGCAATTGGCCGCTCCACCGCTGCGGCCCGAACTGGACCGCGCCAGCAATAGCGCCCCGAATCTGGCCACGCCGACCTTGAATCCCGGGAGTAAATCAGCGAGCGGGAAGAGCAGCGAAGGCGATGAGGATGAAGAGATCCCTTTGGGAATCTTGGCGGCGCATGGGTTTCCGAATAGGAACCGTCCGCCCAGCCGCCTCGCCCCCTCGAACTCCATCCCCAATATGCGGGCGTCGTACCACCACCAACCTTATGTCTCGTCCCCGGGATCGGGTGTGGAACAGGATTTCTCCAACCGCTTCAGCTTGCCGGTCTTTGCGAGGAACTTGCCGCGGGACCCCTACTACGGAGCCGGTCTGGTGAACCCCCCCAACCGCGAGTCCCTGGCATTTGGGGGAGGTGCCTCGGTCCATGGGGGACCCACAGCTACTGTGGGTCCTCCCCCCGGTTTACCTCCCGGGGGTCTTGTGGGTGTCATCGCCACGGAAGAACGAGCGCGGGCGATGCGACGAGGGAGTCCTAACATGCAGGCTATGCACGAATATCAAGCTGGTATGCCAGCCGCATCGGCCCATCCCAGTGGCGTCCCTCGACCCTACACAATGATGAACATGACTCCGCCAAACTTAGCCGGTCCCCAGTCCGGAATCTCCGCTTCCGAACAGGCACAGATCGAACTGTCTCAACAGATGTCCAGTATGATGCAGATGCAAATGCAGTGGATGCAGCAAATGATTCAGATGCAAGGTGGTCAAGGCTCTGCTCAGCCCCCGATGTCTTCAGGAGGCCTCCCAGTTCCGCCAGGGTTCAATCCCGCCATGCAGCTACCGCCGATGCCCTCACCCGGTCCTTTTCACGATGCCTCCCCCGGGTACCCCACCAACCAAAGGACCCTGAGTATGCTCGACCCGAACGTCTCTTCCCGGCTGAACAGCGCCCCCATGCCGTACAACCCTATGGCCCATCGGCCACACACCCCGGCCGGCCAAGGTTATGCGCCGTCCATTGCACCATCGGAGCGTAGCAACGTGGGACTCGCGCCTCGATATCGACCAGTGTCGACCATGCAAGCAGAAGCTGCGACTTCGGCCGAAGCTTCTTTGCCTCGACAGTGGAATGATGAAAACCAAAAGTCTTTGCTCTCGGTTGCCTCGCCTGCAGCATCGCGCTTGGCCCAGCGGCCCATCTCCAGTGGCAGTCGGTCCGCGGCCAGCGTGCAAGGGAACCGGGTCCGACAGGATGAAGATGAAGATGAAGACGAAGGTTGGGCTGATATGATGAAGAAACGAGAAAAGAAGCGCAACAACTGGAAGCTGAAGAAGGAAACAAACGGTTTCGGTGACCTGTTGAATGCGGTACATTAACAGCGATGTCTCTAACGATTTTGACTCTTCGGAGAGTCATGGGTCCGCTTCATACTCCGAGCCATACCCTTAATTCCGTCTCGACTATAAAATTCCGACGAAAAGCAATATGATGACTATTAACTCTTGCTTTTTTTTTTTTTTTTTCTTGCTGTTCCTGTCCATTATGTTTCGTTTTCTCTTTTTGGATCAAGGTTTCTCTTCGAGCGGTTCACTGACGGATCCAAACGTCAAATTCAATTTGCATTATGATTATTGTTGTAATTTTCTTCTTTTCTTTTGGAATGGCGTTATTCATGGCTGGCGTTCGGACAGACCTGCAAGATTTGTCTTTTTCCTCTCCTTTTGAGCATCCATTTGTACTTAAACCTTTGAGCGATTGTATCTCAGTATGAGCTCCATTCAGATATGGACATAATGAAGGGCTGGCATCAGCCAGATGAATGTATTCGATTGAGCGGTATTAATTCTATCAGCGTATCAACTTAGGTATCGACTTATATAGCATTAATTTCCGGCCGTTGCGATCCTCTTCACAATATCAATCGCCCCCAGTCGAACACTCCTCACAACCTCCCCAGCAGGTAGCGCTTCCCTGACGAGCCCTACCCCAGTGCCCGCATACGTCGTCAACCTCCCATCAGGGCCCCATCCCGCATCCCCCTTCTCCAACTCCGACACATACAAACGCTGATTCTCCACAGCACTCATACCCCCTTCCACAGCATCAACATAGCTCCGATTGATGACCCCCCGCCCATCATACCGCTGCGGCCAGCCATGAATACCCCTCACCCCATCATACACCGTAGACCGAACAGTACTGACGCCCCCATCCTCAGCCCGCAATATCTCATCCCGATACCCACGCGCAACATTCGCCTCCTCAGAAGCAAGAAACCTCGTCCCCATCACCGCCCCGCACGCCCCCAACGCCAGCGCCGCCGCCACCCCTCTGCCATCCACGACCCCACCCGCCGCCAACACAGGCACCGTCCCCAACCCCCGCGCGTCAAGCGCATCCACAACCTCCGGAACAAGCGTCACCACAGACGCCGACCGCGCCAACCCGTGGCCCCCCGCGTCGGCCCCCTGCACGACCAGCACATCAGGCCGCAGCGTCTCCGCCACAGCCACAGCCTCACAGACCGCACCAACCTGCACCCAGATCTGCGTCTGACCGTCCGTTGCGGCCCGCACGCGCTCAACCCACGGTATCAGTCCCGCGGGCTGGTCCTCTGGCGCGAAGAGCCACACCGCGCAGGGCTTGTACTTTTCCACGGCGGCTATCGACTGCGTGAGGTCCGCGCCCCAGTTTATGAAGCCGACGCCGATGGGGAGGATGCCGGTGTCCGCGTAGTGCTTGTTTAGCGGGGAGGTGGGTTGTGCGGCTAGGTTGGCGGCGTCGGAGAGTTTTTGTTCGAGGTTGGAGACGTCGAAGCCGGCTGCTAGGAAGCCGAGGCCGCCGGCTGTGGAGACGGATATGGCGAGGGCGGGGAGCGAGATGTTGAGCATGGGGGCGCTGGCTATGAGGGGGGTGGTTACCCAGGGGTAGGTTGTTTGGAGGGTGGGGTTGGAGGACATGGTTGTGGTGGTCGTCTTTGTGTTGGTTTTGTTTTTGGGGGGGATTGGGTTGATTGTGTTTGTGAGGGGGGGTGAGTTGATGTGGGGGTTGTTGTTGGTGTTGATGATGTTGTTGACATCATTTGGATTGCTTATTACCGAGGTTTGAACTTTGGAGTGGTGGTTAGTGATGTATAATGATCAGTGAATCACTATCGATCATGGTGTGGATCTTGACTGGATCGCTTGTAGCTATGCTCATTAGCTAGGATACTATATAGAATAATTACTATGTTTTCTTGGTATTAGATATCGAAAATGATAGGAATATAAAGTGGGCCTGATCTAGTACGTGAGGATGTATGGATATATATCACCAATCTCACGATAGAAACCTGACTATTCCGTGATGATACCAGCTGTGATAGATAATCAACAAGAGTGATATTAAAATCTAAAATTACCCATCTCAGTTATTGTATTCACTGTCGTTCAGTTTATTCATGATATACTATTATCAGGTTGTATAGATCACGTGCTGAAGTCACGGGACCACAGCGGAAAGATCATCATCGCTGATTTAACAGTGACGAACCAACCATCTCGCTCGAGATCTACTTCTCGAGTCCACCTCCTTATTCCCACGTATCATTACCATCTGCTTTGGATCTCTGGAATAGCAGAATTTATCGGTATCATTGACTGCGCTGTCCTTCCATTGGGTAATCCTTTGATTTTGGTTAACTCTGATATTGAAATGTAAGGACTCGATGATATCCGGCCTTGGTTGATGGGCGGAGTGGCCTGCAGCGTGAAAAGTATACTAATTTATGTTGGATAGCATCGGGTCATCTTCATCTTTGACCTAGTGGCCACTTGTTGGTTGTTATTTGTTACGTGGGCCTTGTGTGCTTGGTTTCAAAGAGAAGTGAGATTCTGTTTTTGATAAAGATTGGAGATCATAAGATCTACTTGGAATCAAGATGAACGCCCCTGATAGGTAAGGTGTTATGTTATTTTCTGCGTTTATCTTCTTTCTTTGAATGCCAGGCGAACGGTGTCTTGCTTCCTGTTATGGAAGGCCCGTCACGGTCTCCCTGGTGGTGTTGGGAGATGCTGGGAGTTTCTTCCAGCACTGGGGTGATTAGTCGGCGCTCTTCTCTCTTGGAAACATCATGTTCTCTGTTTACTCTTCTTGCTGTCTTTTCTGTTACCCTTCTTTCCATCTGCGTCTACCCACGTTTCTTGATCATCCCCAGTCCACATCTCTTGATTATCCCCAGTCCATCCTCATCCTGCATCTCGTCATCCTGTTGCTTGCTTCATCCACCACTATCATCATGGATTCTGGAAAAGAGTCTGGCAAGGACTCTGGCAAAGAGTTCATCATGCCCACCGATATGGCCTATGCTCGTACTGGTGGTTCCCGCAGAGGATGCCAGACTACAGTCAACGTCTCTCACGACCAGCAGCCTAGGTCTGCTCATTTTACCCTTCCTCACCGAGCCAGCTTGTGTTTTTGTCATCATGAATCCTGTTGTGTCTTCTCTTGTAACAAATAGCCGCAAGACGTGATTGCTAATGGAATACTGGATAGATACGAGTCCTTTGTGCTCGGCAATGGCGAGAACAAGGTTGATATGGAAGTTGATACCCGTATGTATGCCATCTTCTACCTCACCTTTATATTCTGACCAGGTTCAATAGGTATTCCCAACACTTCTATCTTCACCTTCAACAAGGAAGACCACACTCTTGGCAACATGATCCGCTCCCGTCTTCTCCAGAGCTCCCATGTTCTTTTCGCTGCCTACAAGGTACGCTATGAGAATCTCTTCTGCTTTTATACCGCCGTATACCAGGCTAACAAGTGCATGCTAGGTTCCTCACCCTCTGGTTCCCAAGTTCATCCTTCGCGTCCAGACCGACGGCGAAATCACCCCCAAGGATGCTGTCATCGCTGCCTGCCATGAGCTTGTCAGAGATCTGGGAATTCTCTCCCGCGAATTCACCAAAGAGTATGAGTTGCGCAAGATGGTGGGCGCCAACCAGCAGCAGGGTGGCAATGCCGACGGAGTTTAGATCCGCCTCGAGTGGCAGCCACGTTGACCCTGCGCAGCTGGTCTCGTGTGGTATCTTTTCCTGATGCAATCTGACCTTCTGAAACCACATCGGCTTTGTTTGCACAATCTCGACGGAACTCACCGAACCAGAGCGACGGATAATTCTGTTGATATGGATTGGAGAGAGGATGGCGGGCCCATCATCGTGATGAGATGTGTTTTACTGGAGCTGCAGTGGTATCTACGGATCTAAAATTGTGCTTTGCGTGTCTGAAAGGAATGGGCGTTGTGGTTGTCATTGTCACACTCTCAGCGGAGGTGACCATCGTGAGGGCTGGAGGCGTTTCTTTTCTGCTCTTAATTTCCTATCCTTTCCTGGATTCCTCCGCATTGCGCATTTTCTGAGGCTGTGGCGGGTAGTCTCGGCATCAAGTCTTGACACCTGCGCCGGTGGACATTCTGTGAATGTATGGCTAATCAGTTAGGACCGGTGGCACCTGAGATCCTGCCATTCGAAGGACATATGAGAAATGAGATTACCATCCATCATACAACGTCATCTAATCTTGCGTCGTTGCCCCGTAGTTATAGTGGAGTAATAAAAGTGGACCGGTTAGTCAGCGCTGACTCAACACCACGTGAAACGGGGACTCTCCTCTCGTCCCCCTGATCCGTTGGACACCGTTCACCTTCTCTGGACTTACGACATCATTGAAAGGACGACGCAGGCTTTTCAGGAAACACCGGATGGTATCTTCCTAGATAGCCTTTTCCCGGTTATTGTCTGACCTTTTGTTCATTCGTTGTTATCTCCTGTTGCTGCTCCTTCGTCTCCTTCCCCTCCCAATCCCCCTCCAGATACTACTACTAGACCGGACTCCCGGTGATAGCTTCTCCCTCCTTTTGCCGATCCTTTGGTCCCGTCCCCTTTGATTTGGTTTGAACCTACATACTCTCATTTTTGATCTATCCCTTTTGTCTTACATCTACGCCCCTTGCTCGCCCATGCGACGCTGCGTGGCGTAATGTACTCGTCCTCGAATTCCTACCTGGGCGGCGCCAACAGCGGCCGCCCGGGGCAGCAGCCTCCGTTTGCGCAGCAGCCCCAGTACACCCAATTCCCTCCCGGTGCTCAACAGCAGCCCCAACAGCAGCCCCAACCTGGGTTTGCTCCCCAGCCCACCGGCTACGGGCCGCAGATGACCGGATATGGAGGCCCTCAGCTACAGCCTCAGTCAACGGGCTTCCCCGGTGGGCAGCTTCAACCCCAGTTTACAAGCTTCCAGGCACCGCAACCGACAGGCTTCCAGTCTCCTCCTGTGCAACAGCCTCAGTTCACCGGATACCCTCCTCAGAACACTCCCCCGCAGCTACAGGTCCCTCCTCAGAACACCGGTCTTCCCATTCGGTCCATGCCCCAGACGTCGTCGGAGATCGCCAACTCGTTCACCGATGGCAGTGGTGTTGCCCCTCCCCCGCCTCCGAAACCGACGGGTAATAAGGTCCCCAACATCCGTCTCTCGTTTATCACGGCCCAGGACCAGGCCAAGTTCGAGCAGCTGTTCAAGTCTGCGGTGGGAGATAGTCAGACCATGACTGGTCAGTAGGATTCCAAACCCTCGGTGTCATGTTGGATAGAGGTTCTGACAGTCCGTCAACAGGGGACAAGGCCAAGGAGCTTCTTATGCGGTCTAGACTGAGCGGAAGTGATCTGTCCAAAATCTGGTAAGCATGCGAAGAAGACAGAGTCGCAGGGTTAGGAGATGAGTGTTGCTGACTGCAATAGGATCTTGTGTGATTCCACCAAGTGCGGGCAGTTGTTTTTCCCGGAGTTCGCCTTGGCCATGTATCTGTGCAACCTTCGAATTACCGGTAGAAGCCTACCGGATGCCCTCCCGGAGACGATAAGGAACGAGGTGTCCAGCATGGTTGACATTATCGCGACCCAGGTTCCTGACACAGCACCACAGTCGACCGCGAGAACAAATGTCCCGAGTTTCGACCCGCCGCTGCTGCAGAACCAGGCTGCTCCCCCGGCGCCCCAGCAACCCCAGCCCCAGCAGCCAACCAACTCGCACCTCCTCTCGCAGCTCACGGCGCAGCCGACTGGCTTCGCTCCGCAACCGACGGGTTTCCAGCCCGGTCAGAATTCGTTTTCGGGTCAGAGCGTGAACCTTGCCCCCCAAGCCACGGGAATGCCTGGCCAGCCTCAGCAGTCGTCATTCCTACAGCCACAACAGACGGCCTTCATGAACAATCCTCAGCCGACTGGGTATAGTGGACCGCGTCCCCCGGTTCCGCCCATGCCCACTGGCTTTGGGTCCAACCTCAGCCCTGCCCAGACGGGAGGGTTGGTTGCACAACCCACAGGAGTGCCCGGTCAATGGGGGTTTGTCAATGCTCCCTCGACAGGACTGCCGAACATCGAGGCTCTTAAGCAGCAGCTCATGCCGCAGCCGGGTCGCGAGGGCGGATTTTCGACAGCTGGCCTCTCCGGCAACGCTCATATTCCCTGGGCCATCACGAAGGAGGAGAAGAAGATCTACGATGACCTTTTCCGTGCATGGGATGGTTTCCACAAGGGCTTCATTGGTGGCGAGACCGCCATCGAAATTATGGGCCAGAGTGGCTTGAACCAGAAGGATCTAGAGCGCATCTGGACCCTCGCGGATCCCCACAATAGAGGACGACTCAACATGGATGAGTTTGCCGTGGCCATGCACTTGATCTACAGAACCCTCAATGGTTACCCGGTCCCGAGCCGACTTCCGCCAGAGCTCGTCCCCCCGTCAACGAGGAACCTGAATGACTCCATAGGCACGATCAAGTCCATGCTGTCCCAGGACGCCGAGTCTCGCAAAGCGTCCGGAGCATTCCTGCAGCCCCAGAAGACTGGCGTGAGCTATCTCAAGGACCATTCCTTCCGCGGTGGTGCCGCTTCTCCGGGCGGTGGTCGTAAAGACGCTACGTTGTTTAAAAACAATGATGGCGCTGCTGCTGGCTACCGGTCTAGCGCCCGGCGTCGCGTTGGTAATAACGGCCGGACACCGTCTCCCGCCTCTTCGCAGGCATCCGAGGACGAACTATCCGTCCAGCAGCTGAAGAAGAAGATCCGCGAGACTCAGATCATGCTTGATGCGACCGATTTCCAGGATGAGAGTCGTGTGGAGGAGGATGAGGCTTTGGATCGCCGCGACCGCCGCGAGGCAGAGAGCCTCCTGGACCGTATTCGGCGCGTGCAAGATGACATCGATACACACCCCAATGCCTCCTTCCGCAACGTGGATAACGGTGCCGAGCGGAGAGCCCTGCGCCGTCAGTTGCAGGCCCATGAGGACCAGGTCCCTCAGGTTGCTTCGGATGTCCGCCGCATCGAACGCGAGATCGCTGAAGCCAAACTTGAGTTGTTCCGCCTCAAGGATGCCAAGGCGCACCCGAACAGCGCATCCAACATCGTGGGGACCGGCCCCGGTGGTACGGTCACGGAAGCCGACCGTATCAAGGCTCGCGCTCGTGCCCGCATGCAAGCGCGCGCCGCTGAGCTTGCCGGCCGGCCTGCTCCAGCTTCTCAGGACGATGATGGAGCAGCGGCGCGTCGACTCGAAGCGGAGAACACCAATGTCAAGGCTGATCGAGAGAAGAACGAGTCCATGACACGCGATGTGGAGGAAAGCGTGAAAGAGTTTGCCCGGAGTCTCGAGGACAGCCTCAAGGAAGGTGGTGAAAGCTCTGTGCGTGAGCACGAGAAGCGACGATGGGAAGATGCTTTGGGTGTTGAGGATGTCATTCGTGACTTCATCTATGACTTGAAGCGCAATGCACGGACCGCGCATGTCCGCAAGGAAGAGTAAGTTCCCTGATCAAAATGCATGCTGTCTGGATAACAGACTGACATCTTTGCCCAGCGCATCCGGGTCGCCCTCTGCACAGAGGCAACAACCTCGAGATGAGTCCGCCCCGGCCCGGAGACCCTCGCCTCCGCCGTCCGTCGGGTCATCCGGCTCCTTGCCTGGCTCTACTCATGAGGACCGCGTCGCAGCTGCGAGAGAGCGTGCCCAGAGACGCATTGCCGAGCGTATGGCCGCGGCTGGGCTCAAGCCAAATAACGACTCCGCGGAGACTCTGGTGCAACGCCAGGAGCGAGAGAAGAAGGAGCGCGAGGAGCGGGTGAAGAAGGCCGAGGAAGAGGATTCTAAGCGGGAGCAAGAAAGGCAGCGTCGTTTGGCGGAGGAGAAGGGCGGTCGCCCCGCCCCGTCGTCCGTCAAGCCCGTTGGGAAGAAGCCTCCCCCAGCACCCCCTTCGCGCAAAGTCCGCGGGGACAGTGCCGGCCAATCCGACGCTAGAAAGGCGGCTGAAGAGCCGGCAAGGGGTGATCATGATGTTCGTGAGCAGGCTATCCGAGAGGAGCAGCATGCCCAGGAGGAAGAAACCAAGCGCCTCGAGTATGATCCCATGACTGAACAGAATTTAGTTGACATCGTTGCTTACCATACTCCCAGGGACGAGGCCCAGCGCCGGGCAGAAGAAATTCAGAAGGAGAAGGAGGCCCAAGAGGCTCGCCTTCGGGCCCTCGAAGAGCAAGTCAAGCAAGGCAAGATCAAGAAACAGGAAGAGAAGCGCCGTAAAGAAGAGGCCGAGCGCGCAGCCAGAGACCAAGATTCTCGGCTGGCGGCTCAACGTGCCGAGCTCGAGATGGCCAAAGAGCGGGAACGACAACTCCAGTTGGAGCTGGAGGGTTTGGATGGCGAAAGCTCTTCGGATGATGAAGATTGGGACACGGACATCCCTCGTCGGGACAGCACCCCGACACAGAGCCAGATGCCTTCGACTACCGATGCCCAGCCAGCGTCTCCCCCCACACCTCCTCCGGCCCCTGCACCCGCTCCTGAGTCGGATGCCGTGAAGACTCCTGTCAGCTCCCCGCCCGGTAGCCGCGGTGGGGCCGACGCCGAGTCCAAGAACCCCTACTTCAAGAACCTCAGCCACCCCGCTGATCAACCCGCGACTTCCGTTACTTCGCCGAAATCCGAGTCCACCAATCCTTTCCACCGTCTCGCCCAACAGCAAGAGAACGTCAAGCCCGCCCCCTCGTTCCCGGCCCCTGGCCCGCTGGAGCGCAAGTCTCGCGCGCGCCCCGAAGAAGACGATGACTGGTCCGCGGCCGGCTCCGACTTCGATTCCTCCGACGATGAGGATGAACGGCCTGGTGGCGGCAGCGCGAAGCAGCTTGCAAGCATCCTGTTCGGAACCATGGCGCCCCCACGACCGCTCAGCGCCATGGACGACAAGTCCCCCTCGAAGTCCCCTACGCCGGTACAGGAGAGCAGTCCTGTGGCGCCGCCTCCGGCTATTGAAGTTGAGGAATCCCCGTCTGCCCCAGCCGGCGCTCCCCCGCCACCCCCGCCGCCCCCACCTCCCCCACCAGGTGCAGGTGGTGCTCCCCCGCCGCCTCCTCCGCCCCCTATGGCACCTCCTGCTCCGCCCTCGGGTGCTGCCCCTCCGCCGCCCCCTCCCGCTCCGCCGGCGGGTGCACCGCCCCCACCGGCTCCCCCGTCTGCGCCTGCACCCGCACCCGCGGCGGGCGGCGGTCGTGGTGCCTTGTTGGCATCGATCCAAGCAGGCAGCCGCCTCAGGAAGGCTCAAACCAACGACAGGAGCTCCAGCAATTCAGCAGGCCGCGTGCTGTAAGGGTCTTGTCCCACAAGCGCAACAGGAATGGCAATCAAGTCAAACACCACCATTACTGGTCTATTTCTTTTCTTAATTAGCACCATCCGTTCTATCTTTAGTCATACTGCATTGAGTATCTCAATCTACGTTCGGTATGGAATATACTATATATATATGTATACATCTCTTAATAGGGCCTTATTTTAGGAAGTTTGGCGAAAGAGCCAGTGTAGATAATATCGTTGAAGTGGAAGAAGAGGAAGAAGAAAAGGAACCGCATGAATCATCAGTTCGTAACATCAACAATAGTAACAGATACACCGGGTTCGTCCAACAATTCCACTACATTGGCAGTAGCAGTTCCAAAGCAAGCCCGTAGACACCCAAACCCCGTAAAGATAAGTCTATAAAGATAAAGTAACCAGCAAACAGCTAAGTAACCAGCTCAGCAACAACATTGCTCAGCGTACTGATACACCAAAGCACAACCAGCCCCCACCCGACCTTCCTGTCCATGATCCACTTATTCATTGGGACGACGATCAACAAGCCGACTAGCGTAATCAGCAGCGTGGCACCGCTGATGATGAGGACCTTCGAGATGGCGATCTCGTAGGAGCCGCCGTTGACGGCTACGGTTTCCGGGTTGGCGTTCAGGGTCATGTAGAGACCGCCTAGGCCGATGCCGAGGAGGATGTTGAGCATGGGGCCGCCGAAGCAGGCGCTTAGGGCCATGACGGGGTAGCCGAGGCGGGCGACGGTGATGTCTGCGACGAGGTCGCCGAGGGAGTTGCCGACGGCGAAGACTGTGAGGCCCAGTAGGGAGTCGCTGATGTTGAGGATGACGCCGAGGGTTTTGAGCAGGTTGACTACTTCTGTGGCTATTGTTGCGATCCAGGAGATGGCGACGATGAAGCCTAGGAGGGCGAGGAAGGGGCGGACGGCGTTGATGGGTTGGGGGGAGCGGGTTTGGCGAGCGCTTGCTGTGAGGCCGAAGAGGCAGGCTAGGGAGAATAGGAGGGCGACCATGGAGGGGAGGAGGAGATTACGGGGTTGGAGGTCGGGGTCTGTGGCGGTCCAAGTGATGAGGGATACGAAGAAGGGCCCTGTGAAGAGCTGCGTGCAGACTAGCCATTGGCACCACTCTCTGGATGACTGTGGCGAGCTGTCTGCGGGGGGCGGAGGGGGTGGGAGTTCTGAGTCCCAGCGACGTCTGTTCTGCACTGGTTGGACTTTGCCGTTCTGGTCGGGTTGATGGATTGCCGTAGGACTGTAGTCAGGTGGCAGGAGCAATGGGCTGTCCTCTGGGAGTCGCACGCGCGGGCCAGGTGAGTTGTCGTCGATTGGGGAGACATCGGGACCAGACGAGGCGTCTGACCCGGGTTGCGCGGGTTCCACAACGGGGAGCGTGATGGTCAACAGGAACACACTGGGGGCCGCGATGATGCCCAAAAGACGCTCCCCGAAACCCTTCGCCCCCCAGCCGTAGAGGGTGGGAAAGAGGACAGGCACGCAAGACCGGAGAAGAAGAGACCACGACCGTCTCCACGAGTAAGATGTGATCGAGGGGCTGCGACACTCTTCAAAGATACGGTCGTGGACCTGCAGCGCCTCTGTCGGGGTCGAAGCCGACGGGAGCCGTATGCTTGGAGCCCTGGAGGTCGGGACGGATGTATCCAGAAACGGAGGAAATGGGCTGGAGGGACTCTCCAGTTGGGTGTCCGCACTGCCCCGGGCAAATGCCGTGCCGCGGGGGGATACGTCGATCGGGGAGCGGGATTGAGGCGTCTCGGCCTGGTAATTAGGCTGATGGAAAACGTCCGGGGGCGCTAGTAAGTTTGGGCTTGGACTACGACTAGAGGGACCCGACGGCGGTGGAGTCAGCCTTGACGTCGTTCCACGCTCGTCTTGAGGACTCGACGTGGCCGGGGGTGATCCACCATCGCCGACAGACGGTCTACTGACGGTTAAAAGGGGACGGGTCTCCCCAGGGTGGAAGAAGCTTGTGTCTAGCCTCAGACCCGCGGCGTCGTTGGCGGACACGGCTCGCACGCGAGAAGTCCCCCCTTCACTGTCGACGAACAGGCGGTCCGCGGCCATGTGTCGGTCACTCCGCGGATGGGACGCGACAGACCTGTTGTCCTGGTCGAGAGACCCGTCGAGGCCGGTCGGCCCATCCTGATGGACATTTTTCGACCTCTGCAATGACGAGAGGACGGACTGAAACTCCAGGGCTCCGACCAGGCTCGGTCTGATGGGGTTCAAGGTGTTCCGTCTGCGTACGGAGGGGCGGATGACGTGCATGTTGTCCCGGATCTCGGCCAGGTAACGGTTGCGAGTCTCATCATCCTCCTCCTCCCCGTCTCTCCAGACGGGCACGTCGGGTTCCTCGAGGGATCCGAAATCCTCGACGGAGACGCCGGGCAGGAGGCTCGCCGACTCCGACGCAACTATCGGATCGTCGTCGTCGAATTCTTCGATGTCGAGCTCCTGGTTCTCGGGGATATTGAAATGAGACCGGGCCACGACACTCCGATCATACGACCGACGTTGGCGTACGATGTACCAGTGCCAGGTGACGACGAGGAACACATAGAAGCAATAGAGACCCACCATCGTGGCCGACTCCCAGACGTGCAGACGACCATCGGCCAACATCAGCATACTGAAGCTCACCGCCACGACGAAATAGCCGACGTCACGGACGAAACTCCTCCGGGCGACCTTGAACGGGCGGACAAGCGCCATGGAACCAGCCACGACCGAGGTGATAAAGCCCGCCGCTCCCAGAAGCTCCCCGACGGCCAAGCTCCCGCTGTTGGACTTCATGGCGGCAAACGTGGAGAAAACATCCGGGCTTCCATTCCCAAAAGCCAGGAAGGTGACGCCCGTCAGACTTTCGCTCAAGCCGAGAACACTGGCCAAGGTGCTGAGATCGATGCAGAGGAAGTCGCTGGCGGCGATGCCGATGGTGCTGAAAAGGAGGGACAGCCATAGGACAAGGATGAGGAAAGCGACGGGTTTGGCATCGGCCAGGGAGCAGTAGTAGAAGTGGAGATAAGAGAGCAAGCCGTCTTCATAGTCGAGGCAGTTGGTACGGACGAAGGCGCACTGATCCTTGGCGTGTCGGACCAAGCGGCACTATAAAAGGGTGGCGCAGATGGTCAGCTGGGCTAACTTCGAGCTAATATTTATGATGTGGCGATCATAGTCCATCACACGAGAGACAGAGGGGGGAGATACCTCTAGTTCGTCATGGACGCCCCGTTTTTGAATGAGCTTATCGGACGTAGTTGGTAGCTGGACTCGGGTTGCAGCATTTTCGAAGTGACGGACGACCCAACTGAAGGCCACCAGGGCCGTCAAAATAAAGAGGGAATAGTAGAACGGCCGCACCGAGTATTGGCGCCTGTTGCGATGCGTCTTCCCTCGGATCAAGGGAGGTAGAGGGGGAGAAGATAACGGTAGATGGGACATGATGACGAGAGGACGGGCCGCATTATGAACGGCAGGAGAGTCTAGGAAAGTTCATCGAGCCGGGAGAAATGCTGAGAAAGGGATATGGTCGTCGAACAGAGTAGAAATAAATGGATGTGGAGAACGAAACGTGGAAAATTGGAGACTGGAGAGAGCGAGAGTTGTCGGAGATTGAGGAAGGGGAGCAGAAGGGGGGGAGGGATGATCCATCGAAGTATATTTAATATGCAGTCTGTGAGGGGGATCGTTCCAATATTCTGTCCATCCATGTAGATCACTCATCGATCCGTCTAAATATATTAAAAAAAGGGTCTGACAGAATCAGATCTCAAGCCATCCTGATCCTGTAGACAAATGCGATAAGACGAGAGGGAGAGAGAGAGAGAGAGAGAGAGAGAGAGAAAGAGATCATGTCTGATGTCATCACCGTATGGTACGGTACGGTACCATACAGACTCGCACGATGCACAAGTAAGAGATGACTAATTATGCAATCAGGTGACACCCCGATTGGGCAGGTTGTTTTTGTTGATGCGGCTTGTTTGGCTCGGAAATCTCTCCCTCATCACCATCAATCAACACCATCGTCAGCATCATCCTCTTCTCCGACATCACAATCATACTCATCATACCAACCACGCTCTCCAATCATACGCTTTTCGATAAACTCTCGCTCCGTCATTCTCCACTGATATGAGCCAGAACGCTCATTGACCCCTCCCCCATCCGCCGTCCCCCTCCCTATCGTGATCCATTCTCTATCAACACCCCGCCAGTCCTGGTAGTCTTCCGATCCCTTACTGCCGGGGTCAATTATTAGCAATCATGCCCCGCGTGGCTAATTCCAAGCATCGCCGCTCTGGCGGTGCTTCCACCCCCCATAAGAACTCGCCCATCAAGTGCGCATCCTCCCCTCCAACCTCGTTGTCACGGGACAACCCCGCCCCTCCCTTTTCATCGTACGCAAATAACCAGTGGCACAAGACTAACTCGGTCCAAGGATCCCTCTCAATGATGATATGGGAGAAAAGGCCGCCCGCATGGAGGCCCGACAAGCCCGTTATGATCGTCAGATGGACCAGATCAAAGCCGCCGTCAAGACCCCGTTACCCCCCCGCAGATACACCAGCTACGATCGCGGTCAAAGTGTGAGCCCGGGCGGCACCCCGCGCGGCTCGGGCAGTCGCCGTCGCGAAAGCGATGTCAATCGCCAACGCGCCGTCACCCCCATGAAGCGCGTACCCATCCTGGCCAACTTTGAAGAGTGGATGAAGATGGCCACCGACAACAAGATCAACGCCAACAACTCTTGGAATTTCGCCCTCATCGACTACTTCCATGACATGTCCCTGCTCAAGGAGGGCGACGGCGTGAACTTCCAAAAGGCCAGCTGCACTTTAGATGGCTGCGTCAAGATTTATACCAGTCGAGTGGACAGTGTCGCGACGGAAACCGGGAAGCTGCTCAGTGGTTTGGCCGACAGCCGCGACCGAAAAGCCCGCGAAGCCGATGCCGATGGCGAGGACGGCGAGGACGAAGACGAAGAAGGGACCCGGAAATCCCGCCGAAAGGTACGGTGACCCCCTATCCCACATCGTCCCAACCCGCCATACTGACTCTAGCCTCCCTAGGCCCGTACCCACGAAGCGACCCTGGCGCCCTCGTTTGCCGCCCTCCAACTGAAAAA